CCATGTAACATGGATTTTATACATCAAATCAATTAATCTTATTTTCCTAAAACACACATACATTACAACAGTTGTCCTTACAGAATGTCTGTCAGACATCAAGTCCTGGATGAGAGCTCACCTCATACTCATGTTCAAATCCATTCACTCCCTGGCACCTCCCTACCTCTCCGACTTCCTCAATCCCCAATTACCACCTGGCGCCTCCGCTCGACTGGCACCGGCCTCCTACTCATCCCTCACACTCTCCGTTCCATCATCGGAGGTCGCGCTTTCATCCATTATGCCCCCAAATCTGGAACACTCTTCCTCAATCCCTCCACCTTGTCCCCTCTCTCCCCTCTTTTAAGTTCCACCCGAAAGCTTTCCTTTTCAACCGTGCTTACGGTCCCGCCTCCCCCCGGCTCGGAGTCAGGTTCCGTCACTGTTAAGCCACCGAGACACTACCCTGCGTGGAGGACGCTATATAAGTGCAAGTTGTTATTGTTGTTGTTGAGCTAACCTTCTTCAGTTGAATGTCAATAAGACCGACGCCCTGCTGATTCGCTCCTGTCAGTGCCACCACACCTCAGGCGCGAGCCAGTCTGGAACCTTGGCGTCTTGTAAATCCTGAGCTTGATTGTCCAGCGCCTTGGGACATCCTCCCAACGTGAAAGACACTATACAAATGTAATTTTGTTGTTGTTAAAACAGAAAGTAGCCATTAATGAGCAGAATGCGCATACCAGGCAAGAGGACCCGGGTTCGATTCCCAGCAAGGCGAAACATTAGGTAACTTTCCTTGCTCCACACACCTCTGTTTACCAGCAGTAAGTAGGAACCCGTTTGTTAGTCAATTGGCGGATCGCTTTTCTGGGCTTAAAAATCCCTTCGAAAACGTTTTTTTAAATAATAAATTGCTCCTGGTTCTAGCCAGTGGTAAAAGCAATCAATTATTTTCCTTTTGTTCAGAATATGTGGAGTCCTGTAGCTCAGTGGTTAGAGCACTCGCTTTGCAAGTGACCTGAGTTTCAATTCCAGGCAGAGGGCGAAACCTTGGGCAAGTTTCCTTACTCCACACAGTGCCTAATAATAATCCCTCCAAAAAACCCAAAACAATACTAAATTGGTCATTTTCAATCTACGACTGTTTGTGGGACATTGCTGTGCGCAATTGGCTGCCGCGTTCGCCCACAAATATACAGTCAATTCACTTTACAGTGTGTTCTGTGAAGCGCTTTGGGACGTCCTCCAGACGTGAAAAGCGCTATATCAAATGCAAGGATTATTATTATTATTATAATATGAAGAAATCACTGAACTGCACATGCCAGCTGGAGAAGCAAGATTTCTTTGATATGACCTCACACATCATTGCTTTTGCTTCCACAGGTCTACTTATTATGTACATTCTGATGACTTTCTGTTTTATTGAATGAGGATAGCTTGTTCCAATTTTAGCAATAATTCAGGGAACATTCTCTGAAAACGAGTTTAGGACCTTGGTGTTCAACTCGCTGCTAAGGTTGAAGCAAAAAAAAAGAACATTTTCCCTTCTTCCCCCAGTGTAAAATACTCCATATCTGAGGTAAGTGGATATTTTTATTATTGTATCATTCTATGTAATAATTCAAGCAAAGACTTGTGCAGTATGTACTTAGTTCATCCCTATTTATCAAGGTGATCCAAACTCTTCCTTTCACAAGCTGCAGGTCATCCAAAACTGTGCAGCTCGTGTACTTTCACACATCAGACTCATGACCCTATTACTCCCATCCTAGCCTGACTCCACTGGCCTCCCCATCCCCCACAGGATTGAGTTCAAGATCCTCGTCCTCACCTTTAAGACCATCCTTGGTCTTGCCCCCTCCTACCTCTCTGACCTGCTGACTCCCTACCAACCTGCCCGCTCCCTCCATTCAGTGGGCTCCGGTCTGCTCCATGTCTCCCACCCGACCCGCCCTACCATCGGTGGCCGAGCTTTCAGCCTCTCTGCCCCCACACTCTGGAACTCCATCCCATGGTCCATTCGCCCCGCTTCCTCCCTTGCCTCCTTCAAGACCAGTCTCAAGACCCTTCTTTTCGACCGTGCCTTTGGTCTCCCACCTCTCTGCCTTTCCTCACCCCTATACTACCCCTTCCCCACGCTCAGGCCCCGACACCTGACTGTTCAGCGCTTTGGGACGTCCTCCCGACATGAAAGGCACTCTATGAATGTAATTTTGTTTTGTTGTTGTTTTTGTAATAGGACACACCTGCAATGAATGAAAATGTTCAATCCAACTGAGTGATTTTCTAATTCGTGTACAACTTCAGATGAATCTATGTTCAAAGTTAATGACCAGAAAATCTTGTTTGGCTGTGCCTTCAATAGCAGGATTTTCTTCGATATTCCACTGAGATTCTTGGACTTGTTAAAAACAGAAATAATAACAGGATATTTAATGTTTTACGTTGCAGCACCACCTCAGCACTGGACAGTCAGACTAGATTAAATCTTACCGTGGATCTTGAACCCAAATTTATTATAAATACAATACTTCAGGTTGATAGCATTCTGAAAACACACCTCTAAAAAGTGTTAACCAAACTTTTTTTGTTTAGTGAGGGAAAGAAAGTAGAAGAGCTGTATAACATTTCCATTATAATATAAGAATACTTGCATTTGGTATAGTGCCTTTCACATTGATAGGACATCTCAAAGCATTTCACAACATTTACTGTAAAGTGCAGTGATTGTATTTTATAGGCAAATTGATTTACTAAATGTCATAATGTATTCAACATATATTGAGTTACTACATTTTATAATGTATTCCACACAATACATATATTTACACATTATGAAAGACCACTTAGATCCAGCTATTCCTAAAGATTGACTGTATGGCATCCCTCCAAACGCCAACTTCCACACATTAGATGCATTACTTTCATGCTGCAGTCAAACACCAATCTCCACAATTGAGAGCAGCACTATTGCAGTGGGAAAATCCCCAGTTTCAGCAATTGCACTGAGGCTGCATGGTATAATGGCTGCACTTGGGCTCATTATTTTGCACATGAAACCAAGAGCATGTGACTTCCTGTGGCAGCTTTTCAAAAGCATTAATTACTGTGGATTGTGGTGATCCTCCCACAATTTCCTGCTATTAGGTGGGATGAACTCAATCTCATCTCAAAAGTGCTACTAAACGGATGCTAAAAATGCTGGTCATTGAAGAACCAGAATGGAGTCACTAACACATAAAAATAGATTAGTGTATATATCATGATGAAATGATGAATTCCTCACCACAATGGATAATGTGGCATTGGGTCTTAATTACCTAAATACTCTTATTATGTTGAACAAGAATTCCAGTATCCCAATGAGTTAGCATACCGTAGATTTTGAATTCAAAGTCCCAACATGAAAGGCGCTATAAAAATTTAATTTGTTGTTGAAGTTATTGAAGTTGTTGTTGTTGAAGGACATCCTCCCGACATGAAAAGTGCTATACAAATGTAATTTTGTTGTTATTGTTGAGAGAGAGATGAAGACGCCATCGAGTAGAACCATTAAAACCAACGGCTGAGCTAAGCCCTGAAGATGCTCCTCAGACACTTCTTGTCAAAGAAAAATGAAATATTCTATGAATGTAATAATCTTCAAAGGATTTCAAAGGTAACGTTACATGGACAGTTAAATGCATGAAATAATCTAAATATTACAATTTAATAATGTGCTCACTCAATCCACAACTGTTCATGGGATACTGCTGTGCGCAATTGACTGCCGTGCAAAACACACAGTCACTACACTTTGCAGTAGATTCTGTGAAGCGCTTTGAGACGTCTCGAAGATGTGATAAGGTGCTATATCAAATGAAAGGACGATTGTGGCGGAGCCTGACCCTGAGCCGGGTAGCGGTGGGTGGGAGGTGACCGTAAGCACGGCCAAAAATGTTTTCAGGCCGGACTTGAAAAAGGGGAGAGTGGGGCAAGGCGGACGGATTGAGGGAGTGTTCCAGAGTTTCGGGGCGCAGTGGTTAAATGCACCACCTTCAATGGTGGAGCGGAGGGCACGAGGGACAAGCAGGAGGCTGGTACCAGTTGAGCGGAGGCGCTGGGGGGGGGAATTGTGGAGTGAGGAGGTTAGAGAGGTAGGGAAGTGCCAGAGAGCGAAGGGATTTGAACACGTGTGGGAGGATCTTGACGTCAATCTGTTCGGTGATTGGGAGCCAGTGGAGCCTGGCCAGAACTGGTGAGATATGGGTATGGAGTTTGGTCCGGGTCAGTATGCGGGCGGCAGAGTTCTGAATGAGCTGAACAGTGGAGCTGGGGAGACCGGTGAGGAGCGTGTTGGGAGTAATCCAAGCGGGAGGTGACAAATGCATGCACGAGGATTTTGGCTGCATTTGGGGTAAAGTATGCGCGGAGGCGGGCAATGTGGAGTAAGGCGGTCCAGGTCAGGGATCGGATGCGGAGGAGGAAGGACGGTTGGGGGCCGAGCCGGACGCCCGGATCGCGCCGCGCACTGGTTCGGCGAGTCTTGAGGACGTGCCGAGAGAGCTGGAGGAGTTTCGAGCCGCAGGAGGAGTGGGGACGTCGACGGGAGCCGAGGAGAGTGGCTTCCGTCTTGTCCACATTCGGCCGCAGGAAGTTTGCACTCATCCGGGGCCTGACGTCTGCCGCACAACCTGACGGCACAGCGACGGACCCGGAGTCGACGCCGGAGGAGGAGGCAAAGCAGATTTGTGCGCCACCCGCGTACGTGTGGAAGTTTTCCCCGGGGCCTGCGGGTGACGTGATAAGCCGCTGTATCAAATGCAAGGATTCTTCTTCTTATTCTTCTTATTATAATAATAATTATAATGACAGTGATATTTATTATTATTATTATTATTATTATAAACCGCCCATTCTGTCTGCGGGACAGAAAGGCGATCAATTGTGGCGCGGGCGGAAGTGACGCAGCGCCCCCTCCCCCTCCCCCTCCGGACAGGAGGCGGCGCCGCGATCGAGCGGCTCCTGTCCCCCCCTAATGAAGATGGCGGCGGCCGCCGAGAGCCAACCGCCCCCACCGCAGCCAGAGCCAGAGGCAGAGCCAGGGCCAGGCGGCAACCAGAGGAAGGTCTTCATCTTCGACCGGCGCCTCGGCAACTCCTCGGAGAAGACGGAGGACGTCGGCGAGCAGTGCACTTACCAGGAGTTCAGGAGCTCCGTGTGCCGGGTAATGAACGCCGCCCCCGCGCGCGCCCCTGACACCCGGCACCACAGCAGCCGAGACAGGCCTCTCCCTCACTCCCTCCCTCACTCCCTCCCTCCCTCCCGGCGTCCAGTGTCCCGCCGAGCCGAGCCCCGGCCACCACACACACACAGCCCCGCTGCGGGCAGGGGGAGAGGGAGGGGGGGAGGGAGGGAGAGGCCGCGGCTGCTGACGGGGGAGAGGCTTCTCGGAGGCTCTCTGACAGCGCCGATGTGGAATTACAATTGCGCAGCATAAAATGGAGGTGTGTCCGCGCGCGGGTCCTGGTCCCCTCTCCACACCCGTGAATGTCTTTACACCGCGGGGGGACGGGACGGGGACGGGGACGGGGGGGAGAGAGAGCAGTGACTGACTGTTAACTCGTGCCTTCGCCTCTGCCTTTACACTGGGGGTTGCGGGGCAGGTGTTTGCCCGTTTCTTCCGTGTCACTGTCCCGTGTATACCTGCCATAGGGAGGGAGGGAGGGAGGGAGTGGCGGTGCGCCGTGGGCTCCCGAGACAGCCACATTGGCTCTAAAATAGGGAGAGAGCCCCTTCATTAATGAGAATAAGAGGCTTTTGATGGATCAGTTACCGGGTGCACTTTCCTGATGGACCAGTTACCAATTCAAGATACACTGTCTTGACTGGACGGTTGCAAGGTGCGCTTTCCTGATGGACCAGTTACACATACATTTTCCGAATGAGTTAGTTACCTGCATGGCTGTGCTTTCTTCAAGAGGTGTGTGCACCCATTAGTTTCTTTGAACAGGCTTATTTGCATTTCTTTATTCCTTGTAAATGTTGTGAGGCAGGATACAACAAATTGAGTTTGTACAGCGCTCTTCACTTCGGGAGGACGTCCCGAGGAGCTGAATAATTGTCATTTGTAGTTGAGCTTTAACCCGATGAGCCAATATGCATTCTGTAGACATCAATGACATATTTATTTAACCTTCTCCAACTCCTCTCAGGCTTTATTTTCTCTCAATGGATATGGTCTTAAGAATACCCAGCTTCCATGGTGTGATGTGAAGCAGAGATGTTTCATTCTGTCTTCCCATCCAGGCACTTGCATCTTTTTGCATAACTTTAAGAAAACATGAACTAATTGTGGTTTACGTACTTTAATACTCAAATTATGTCTTGAGAATTTGGAATTCTGTTGTAGTGTCTTTGTTAGTATTGGTGCGTTTTTAACATTTTAATATGCAGTTAGTTACTGAACAATAATAAAACATTTTGGTCAAAAATTCTCGCAGAACAGTGTCAGTATCATAGGAGTAGATCATTTTGCCTCTAGTGAGCTCTGATATTTTCTTATGCCATGGCTGATCTGTAACTCAGTGTCAGTTGCTTGCCTTTTCTTCATACCCTCTGATACTATTTCTAGCTGAGTATTTTATCTACTTTCCTCATGCATATTCCCATAGATTCTGCAATAACAGTCATTTGAGAAAGTGAATTCTATAATACCACAATGAGTAAAGAGATGTATTCTGATTTCACTACTAAAATCAAATTTTTAGATTATGCTATCTTGTGTTTCATCTTTGTGCAGTGGTAGCACTTTCGTCCCTCAATCAGAAGTTTAAGCCCCACGTCAAGACTTGGAATCACACAGACTAACGTTCCAATGCAGTGCTGGGGGAATGTGCATCGTCGGAGGTGCCGTCCTTCGGATGTGTTGTGAAATATTAATCCCTCCAAAACCAAAAACAATAATAAAAAAATTGGTCATTTTCAATCTACGACTGTTTGTGGGACATTGCTGTGCGCAATTGGCTGCCGCGTTCGCCCACAAATATACAGTCAATTCACTTTACAGTGTGTTCTGTGAAGCGCTTTGGGATGTCCTCCCGATGTAAAAAGCGCTATATCAAATGCAAGGATTATTATTAGGATTATTAAGTATTGAATAATCAGTTCCTGGTGAAAGTATAAAATAATTGAAATTAAAATGGATTTTGCATTGAAAGCTAAACTAAAAAATAAGACCTATGACAAGAAGTTTGACCTGTTTATAACCTGTTTCAATAGACAGATTATAATTCCCTTCCAGTTTTGTTTGGGTTGATTGCAAAGGGATGAAGAGAAACTGTAAATTTCTCATCTGTAAAATGAAATTGACATGTACTTCATGGGAGATGTACACTATTTATGCATTTTTAGCAGCATAAAAGTGGGCAGATAGAATTTTACAGCAGGAGGATTTGTTTCATTGTGTTTGCCGGCTCTAGTTCCACTTACGTAATAATAATAATCCTTGCATTTGATATAGCGCCTTATCACATCCATGAGACGTCTCCAAGCACTTCACAGGATATACTGTAAAGTGGATTGACTGCATACTTTGTGAGCAAAATATGGTAGCCAGTTTGTGCACAGTAATGCCCCCAAACAGCCATGGAATAAGTGACCAATTTTACTTGGGGGATATGTTGGCCACTGGGAGAAACTCTTCTCTTTTTGAATCGTGCCATACTCTTATGTGTTTTCAAATGTACTTTTCAAAAATTTGTCTGATTCTGTTTTTAAAGCTGTTGCAGAATCTGCTTTGATCACAATTTTTGTTAGTGCATTCCATGTCTTAATAACTTTCTGTGTGTTTGTGCGAACATTTCTAATCTCTGCCTTTAATATCTGTCCATTTGTTTGGAGAAAATAACAAGAAGCAGAACCTGTTTTATAGAATAAATGCCATGAAACATTTCATCCCTCATCCAGGATACCTGATGGATTATATATCTACACTCATTGCATTTTTAAAGCACTGGTATGGATGGCTTTTCTTTGTATCCATATCCTTGCTAGCTGGCTTACATTTGCCTGATGTATCTTTATTCTTTTTATCCTATCCTGCACATTAGAAGACAATGTTGGTGACCCATTATATTTTTATGTGAATTGATTGTTTTAGTAACATTGTAGGATGCATAAACCTAGGCTATCATAACATAAATGTTAGTTACTGTAGAGATCAGGAAAACAAGAACAAATTACAGATGATAGAAAACCCAGAATTGGATGCCAGAAAACGGGGTTTCAGGAGAAAGTTGAGCAAGGATCAGGCTCACCTTCGGCTGCTGTATTCTGCTATGCATATCAGGAAGATGTATAGTTTGTGAAGATGACACTGTGAGGGAAAATACTCAATTTCTCCTTCATGAAATCCATAGAAAGTGCCTATTCTTGAATAAATTTTGCAAATGTATGACTTGAGTAGTTTGACTTTGTGCCCACAGCAGGCCTTAGGGATATCAATCCCCAAATGGGAAAGCCCTCTAACTGGTTGGTGTTGTCATATAAAAATATGTTCCCGGTTCTCTTTAATATTAAAGTTTCCATATCAAATGCATGGATTATTATATGGAGTTAACTTAAATTATATGCATTGGATTGGTAGTGCATTCAATTGATGTTTAACTTAATATCACTAGTAGTAATAATAATAATAATCCTTGCATTTGATATAGCGCTTTTCACGTCGGGAGGACGTCCCAAAGCGCTTCACAGAACACACTGTAAAGTGAATTGACTGTATATTTATGGGCGAACGCGGCAGCCAATTGCGCACAGCAATGTCCCACAAACAGTCGTAGATTGAAAATGACCAATTTATTATTGTTTTTTGGTTTTTGGAGGGATTATTATTAGGCTCTGTGTGGAGTAAGGAAACTTGCCCAAGGTTTCGCCCTGACCTGCCTGGAATTGAACTCAGGTCTCTCGCTTGCAAAGCGAGTGCTCTAACCACTGAGCTACACAGACTTGCACTGATAAATGCTATCGTCCCCATCACTAATATGGATAGTGTATATTTTGCAATATGAGATATGTACGAGCAGCCTTTGTGCCACAACTCTGTAGTGTAAATTCATGAGTGAGATTCAGTTATGTCCCACAGCACCCCTTGATGTATTCTGCTCACTTTACGCCCTGAGGAAGATTTTAACTATAGAGCTTACTGTGAACTTCTCTCTCACATGCCTCCATGTTATTTTGTATAGAACTTGGATTAACTCATGGCAGTGCATGACTCAATTAAATATTTCGTTTTAGTTTGACATGAATTTTTATTTCTTCCTCAGCTTTTTGACATTAAACCAGAAGAAACATTTGTAATTACAACAACTACTAGGAACGAAATCAAAGATAAAAATTTCGGTAAGTAATTTAATCTCGTTCACATGTGAATAAAAGTTGATATGTGATGTAATTTCTTCAATAAGATGCAACAATAAGATATTGCAGATACATTGCATCCAAGTTCCTGCTGACAATGATTAAAATATAGTCATTTGTTTTCTGGTCAGCCGATTGTCTGATGTATGCAGAAGCCCATTACTATGTTCAACAGTATTCAAACCAGATTCAGAGCTCCACATATGGAAGCCACCTCTGCATGGAACTTTCCTTGTGTCTGGAATGGAATGTGCATTCTCTCCCTTCTTTCCTAATTCCAAAAAGTATTAGGCTCAGATTGGTGAGAGGCAAAGTTTAGGGATAGTTCTGGAATTTAACTAGTTTGGAATTTGTCTGACACCAAATAATAATAAAAATAATAATCCTTGCATTTGATATAGCGCCTTACCACGTCTTTGAGACGTGATAAGCTCAAAGAGCTTCACAGAATATACTATAAAACCAAATGACAATGATATGCCAATGAGAACACTGTTTGGCAAGATTCTTGCTGCTTGTCCAAGAAGGGCCACCATATGCATTAGAGCATTGGCTTCCAGGGTTAACAGCAGCTAGTTGGCAAGATCCCTGCCCCAGTAACTGTGTCTACCCCTCCAAATCCTACCATCAAGCCAGGCAGCCTGGTCTGTCATCAGCAGTGCCTTCGAGTACAGTGGATCTGTCTGATTCAGAATTTGAACTACTGATACTACCAGTGAGGATTGATTTAATTCTGACATTCTGTTGCCAAGCATATCATCTTGGAGCCAGCTTAGCTCCAAGCCGACACAGCTTAGCTCTCCAAAAGAGGATGGTCACTGGTTGGTCATTTGACATCTGACATGTACAGGTTTGAGTCCCCTCCAAGTGAACAATGGGTACCAGGAACTCTCTTACGACACTAACCCCCATGGTCCATATTATCAACATAAGTTTGAAACCTCTTATTTTCTTTTGTACAAACAATTCACACAATAAACTAATTACAGCGTTATTGACTAAAGCACTGTATATTAAATATGTATTTGATGGAAAAACTAGCTTGTTAAATTGTACATAAAAATGCATTTTAGGTTGGAATACCTTAATCAGAAATGTGTCTGGAAACTTTTTAATCTTAGACAAAAGCGTTCAGAATGGCACAACTTTGTATGTGCTTCACTCAGTGGACCAAATGCTGCCATCGGCAACAAGAGAACGAATTGAATTTCTTCCTCACTACGATACATTGGTTAAAAGTGGCATGTATGAATACTATGCCAGTGAGGGCCAAACTCCTTTACGTAAGTATAAAATGCGCTTAGTTTGCAACATGCATAACTTTACTATGTAAACTCCCTGTTTGACGGTCTCCCCAACTCCTCCCTCCATAGGCTGCAGATCATCTAGAACTCTGCAGCCAATGTCCTCTCCTGCACCAGGCTCCGTGAACCTATCATTCTCATCCTCTCCCGACTCCACTGGCTTCCCATCACACAGAGGTTACAGTTCAAGATCCTTGTCCTCACTTTCAAAGCCCTCCGTGGCCTTGCTCCCTCCTATCATTGCCACCTCCTAACCCCCTAACAACCTGCCTGCTCCCTCTGCTCAGCTGGCTGCAGCCTGCTTCACATCCCCTGCCTCGCCCTCCCCCCATTGGCAGGCGGGCCTTCAGCTACTCCACCCATACCCTCTGAAACTCCATTCTGCGGTCCCACCACCTTGCCCCCTCCCTGCCTCCGTCAAGAACTGTCTCAAGACCCTCCTCTTCGATCATACCATCAGTCACCCTCTTGCCCCCCACCCTTCCTGATCCCGACCCCCAGCTCGCGTCCAAAACTCTGATTGTCCTTGGGACGTCCTCTCGATGTGACAGGCCCAATACAAATGTAATTTTGTTGAGGTTGAATGGGTGTGAAATTTTTGCTTGAATCTTAATTGTGACAATCCTTTCAAATTTGTGTTTGAGAGCATTTTGAGTTACGTAAGTTTAAGTGATGTTAATGTTACAAGTTATTAATGGGAACAATTAAGAGTAACTGGCACAATATAAAGGCATTTTCCCCAACTCTCGTTGAACCTCTTGGATTGGAAAATTTGTTTATGAAAATCTAGCCTCGCGAGTTAGAGAGATGCAGGAAGGAAGTCCAATGGAAATAAGTCACTGTGGATTTATAAAATGTTTGCAATATTAATATTTACTCTCGACTTCTTAAATGCCCGCTTTGCTGGTCTCCCCAGCTGGAGCTCAGCTTGGGTTCGGTGTCATGCTCTGCCACTGTCAAGAACTCTGGGACGCTACCCTGCATGAGGGGCACTATATAAATGCCAGCAGTATACTTTCTATGTTCTTGTGAATGTGTGCTATTTGCTGACCTTACGTTAAGAAAAGATGTTGGTGGCAACCTGGAATATGGCGATTTTTCGCTCTTTTATAATGACTCTGGATATCGAACCCTGAGAACTGCATTATAATGGTTTTCCCTGTAGAAGTACTAAAATGAACTTAGTATGAAGGTGGAATGTAGAAGCAAGCACATTTGTGGCATGTTAATTTTATCTTAAAAGTAAAGCTATGAATATCTACCTGAAATAACTTTTTGTGTTATTTTTAAACAGCATTTGCCTTTGCAGAATTGGTAGATAATTCTTTGTCCGCAACAGCGAATACTAAAGGAGTTAGAAACATACAGATCAAGCTAGTGAGTAAAACTACTTTATTTATTGAATGGTCTTCTGTATTTACATCAATATTCTAGTCTTAATGGTTTGTTTTCTTTTTGTTCTAGTTATTTGATGAATTGCAAGGTAAACCAGCAGTAGCTGTAATTGATAATGGGAGAGGAATGACATCTAAACAGCTTAATAACTGGGCAGTGTATAGGCTTTCCAAGTTCACCAGAACTGATGAAGACATTGAAAGGTTTGTTTGATTTTACTTTCCCCAAATGGATCAAATAATTTTGTTTTTAATATATGCTTTTGAACTGCTTTAAATTCTTAATTACACCTTGAATATGTAAACTTGAACAGCTATTGTATAGCTAAGCAATTATGGCAAATTACTAAGGGAACGTGTACTGTGCTGGATTTCTTCTTCTTGTGGTAAAATTGAAGCGTAACCTATTTTGTTATGTTTGGCTAGCAGTTAAATGTGTTTCCTTGTGAAGTACTGAGCCTTAAAGTTCACATCACTGTTTTCATGTCTGCTGAGTTAATTGAACTCGAGTTGTGTGGAGGGCATTGTGGTTAGCATCAGCAGAATGGGGATTAGAGGAAAAATTACCAGGGTTCTTGCTCGTGATTGCCCTGCAATGAGCCCTGCTGGAAAAAATGTGTATGGGTAACTGGTGGGGATTGATCTTGTTCTGGGCATCTATCTATCTTAGTTAGTCTTTTGGCACTTGCCATCACATTGTGGACTGTACTGGGAGTTGATCTGTAGTACCTTGGCTCCAGGAAGCACTGTATGTTCCATGTATGCCACCTGAAATGTGTAAATTCCTGTGTCTGGAATGGAATGTGCAATCTCTCCCGCAGGGATGCACCCTGCTTGCTTAATATTGGAGAATTTTAGGCAAAGATTGGCAAGAGCCAAGGCTTGGAGAACCTAGAGTTTATTCAGCTAAAACTGCTAGCTTGTCATTGAAAGCATTGTCTGGCCATCTTCCTGTTGTTTGTCAAGCTAAGACCATCCTATCCATTAAGGGTTTGGCTTACATGGTAAACAGAGGCTAAGTGAGGAGAGTTCCTGGTGACTGATCTGCCCTTTCCGAGACTGGCTAAAGTCATCAGTAACTGTAGACCCGTCTAACTCTAGAACCAACTAACAAGATGTCATAGAGGATTCTGATATTCTGCTGCCACACATATCACTTTAAATCCAATCCAGCTTCAAGCAGATCCCACCAACACCCCCCCCCCCCCCCTCAAAAGGATAGTCACTAATTAGTTATTTGACAAGAGTTGATGAACAAAGAGAGCACCAGGTTGGCATGGTTGAAACATTTGGCACAGGTAGATTGCAGAGGTAAGTTAATAATTTGACAGGCGATGGCAAGAGTATAGTGTTTATACAACTAATATCCACTATATATATTAAAATATATATATATATGACAAACCCAAAGTTCAACAAACCCAAAGTTCTGTATTCAAACCATATGACTATATAACAACACAATAGTCCTCAATATACAAGAATATGGATATACATATCAAATAATAGAGAAACAACAGCATGCACTCAGGAATTGCTTAGTACTCCAGACAAAACAATAAGCCCGAGAATGCACCTCAACATACACAGCAGAGGTCAGACCCTGGAAATCTCTCAGGGACAACTTGATTATGCAGTTCAACACTTAATAGGGACTGGTGCCCTGTAAACCCTCAGACACAACCATTCCTATAAAAACAATACTTAATCACAGAACTATCACACAGAATCACATAGTGGCTCCTGTAAACTCAACAGAAACAATCAGCTCTTAGTCCAGCACCTCATTCGTGGTGCCTAACTTCTGCGTTTCAAACGGACCAACCACTACTACTGTTATTACTTCTCTGCCTAACAAACAGAACTGAAAACGTTACCCACTACTCCTCGTCTCACTTTTAATGGTCACTTTCTTCCTGGAGGTAAATTCCCTCACCCCTGTACATATACATAGATACAGTATAATTGATAATAATAAATAATAATAATCCTTGCATTTGATATAGCGCTTTTCACGTCAGGAGGACGTCCCAAAGCGCTTCACAGAATATACTGTAAAGTGAATTGACTGTATATTTGTGGGCGAACACGGCAGCCAATTGCGCACAGCAATGTCCCACAAACAGTCGTAGATTGAAAATGACCAATTTAATTATTGTTTTTGGTTTTGGAGGGATTATTATTAGGCGTGTGGAGTAAGGAAACTTGCCCAAGGTTTCGCCCTTCCTGGAATTGAACTCCGGTCTCTCACTTGCAAAGCGAGTGCTCTAACCACTGAGCTACAGGACTCCACATTGATATTGATTCCACTGGGAAGTGTGCTGACCCTCTACACAACTCCAACTATTTCAGAGTTACATCTTTTATGTGTTTCTAACTCCACCTCCCCTTGTCACAGAGATAGCCCCACCCTTCACAGGCTGCTTTGCAAAGAGAGAGAGAGACGGACAACTTCTGGGCAGCTTTCCACAGCCTGCTTGCTTCTCAGCCTTGAGATAGGCAGATGTCTGAGGCTGCAGCCTTTTCTTTCTGTGGTCCATTGCTCTTACATCTGTGTTCAAGGACCCGATTGCTCATTATCTCAGAACATCTTCCCAGGAAAATGTAATCAGCAGCTGACCTCAGCCCGCCCAGCAGTTACATTTAACTATCCTTCTGGAACACTCAGAGTGTTGGTGTTTGAAATATATCAAGGCACCCTGAAGTGATAGTCGGTATATTTCCACATAAACTTGCATAGATTACAAAACTACTGGTCAATTTAAGGACAAGAATTCCTTGTAAAGTAGGTTGATTTTCAGCATGTTCAAAAACAAAATCATTGTGAAATTGGGGTTGAGCTGTACAATCTGGAGTCCTGTAGCTCAGTGGTTAAAGCACTCGTCTTGCAAGTGAGACACCTGGGTTCAATTCCAGACAGGGCGAAATCTTGGGCAAGTTTCCTTACTCCACACGCCTAATAATAATAATAATAATCCTTGCATTTGATATAGCGCTTTTTACGTCGGGAGGACATCCCAAAGCGCTTCACAGAACACACTGTAAAGTGAATTGACTGTATATTTGTGGGCCTAATAATAATCCCTCCAAAAAACAAAACAATAATAAATTGGTCATTTTCAGTCCGTGACTGTTTGTGGGACACTGCTGTGCGCAATTGGCTGCCGTGTTTCGCCCACAAATATGCAGTCAATTCACTTCACAGTCTATTCTGTGAAGCGCTTTGAGACGTCTAGAAGACGTGAAAAGCACTATATCAAAAAAAGGATTATTATATTTATTATTAAACCCAATCCTGCTGAAGCTCAGCTGCCAAGTCTACTGAAGGATGTGGTGTTGACAGGACATTAGTTTCACACCACTGCAGAATAATTTAGACTGTAAATTCAATTCAGGATTTGCTCAGGTATATTAAATGTTATGGTCCCAATTGATACAACTTATGTGAATTTTACTGTCTAATACTAAAGGTGTAACTAACATTAGAGGGATAGAAGTTCTTTCAGATATTATGGGGGAATTTGGAGATCTGAAATATTTTTTGTCTATAGATTTCAACCAGCTATAACGTTTGTGTTTAATTGTCAATGTTCCACTTATCAAACTATATAAATAATTGACTGAGCTTGATCGCCTTTTTACTTGTTTTTGTATACAATCAATTACAAAGAAAAGCTTTTTTCCTCAGTGACCATTCAGGGTATGTTCGTCCACCTATGGTGCCTCGAAGCCTCAATAGTGACATTTCCTACTTTGGTGTTGGTGGGAAGCAAGCAGTTTTCTTCATTGGTCAATCAACTAGGGTAAGTGTATACATTTCAGTCAAAAATAACAAGACTTTGCTATCCTTAATATATTAACCTAGTTAAAGATAGCTTGTTGTCAAAAATAAAATGGTGATAGTCAATGTTCTTTCATGAAATTGGTTTGCTGATCTCTTTCTCATTTCATTGCTGAATAACAAACTTTTATACTAATAGGCAAATTATAACCAGAACACAAGTCCCAGGATTTTGATTGCTGCAATCATAAATACGCATGTATAATTTGTTTCAGGATTTCTGGAGAGAAGCCTAGCTAGGCTCGTCTCCTAATACATGATAAACTATTACACGTGTGGAGAAATATTATCTATAAAACCTTAATTTCCAATTTCTCGAGACTAATGAAATACGAGGAAGGAGATGAGGAGGAAAGTCTTGAGCTTATCTCAAGCTGTGGAATTTAGTGTAAGGCATAATGGAACAATTAAAAATGACAAGTATTCCTATTTTCCTTAAGCTTGTTCTGTGATTAGCATGAATTCTATAAAGTGATAGTTTTGAAAAATACAGTAAATTCTGATGACACCACCGCTCTTAACTCGTCACTGTCACTTAAGTCATCAAATATCATGACTGCTTGCCATATAAACTATTAATAAGAGACATTTCTTTACTTATCAATCCGCTTAACATGTAACCTGTCGCATTATAAAATACTACAATATATTATAACAAGGTTTCCCTGTGGAACTTAATGTCTAAAATCTTTTGAGTCGGATTCTTTGATTCATGTTCATTGTTCTAAAGAATGGAATTGCAGTTGGTTAGGTACAGGGCAGTGTAGCTCATGAAATAGGCAGGAAATGAAGAGGAAATTCTCAAGTCTGTTGAAGTTGAAAAATCTAGCGTCTGAGAAAATGTTCAACTGAAAACAAATTATATGTTTTATAAGATATTTGCGTGTGTATCAGTTCGTTACTCCAGTAATGTGTCCTGTAATTTTTTTTCTCAAGATGATAACCAAGCCTGTAGATTCCCAAGATGTGCATGAATTCATACTTTCCAAGGATGATTTTGAAATGAAGGAAAAAAACAAAGAAGCTATATACAGTGGCTTTATCAGGAACCGAAAGGTAAAGTAGCATTTTAGAAGTAAGTATGTTGACACAATTTACTACAAACCCTTTGTTACTTCACTTAAAGGGGGTAAAAAAAAATTGTGTTCAATTCTCTCTCTTTTATAATTTGGCTTTGCTTGTTGCACAAAATATATGCTGAGAGGATTTTTTTCTCAAAAGTAGAAAACTTGCATAAGTAGGTAACACCTAACTGAGTTGTGTTATCTATAGCTAATCTCTCCAGAGCTGAGTATTAGTTCTTCCAGGGAAAGAATGGATATTGCATTTCAAACGAAGGGAAATTTCAATGTGTAGGTGGTGTGTATATATGTGAAACTTTTGGGATTCTATTAAATAAAATGATGGGTTTTCGCACTTGTCAGATATTTGGCTGCCAAAAAAAATGTATTCAAGTAATTTGGGTAAAACTATGCAAGAGATGTGCTTGAAAGTAGCTGTGTTGGTTTAACAAACAAAAAAGCCTTTTCAGGTAAATTGACTTGGGTTTAAAATAAAGTGCTGAATCTTATATTTCTGAATTTGTGAACCTTTTTTTCTTTTTTAAAAAAACAGGCAACTGATTCATTCCATATCACCAACGATGATGAACGATTCCTTCATGGCCTCATTTTGGAAGAAAAAAATAAGGAGAGCTTTACTGCAGTGATTATCACAGGTGTTCAGGTAGTCCATATACAGTATCTGAAGAACTACTTTCATCTCTGGACAAGACAGTTAGCGTAAGTGATTTTGTTTCAAAACTGCAAGAAAGTTTTTGTATGATCTATCTTCAACCTTTAAAAGATGCTTAAATACTGTACATACAAGACTGGCATGAAACCTAAAATATAGCAGAACCCCATTATAATGCACTATAAGTATGTTGGTGCAGATCAGATCCTTCGGAGAGGGTACTTTAATTGTAGAGTTTATTTTTAAAGGACTATCTTTGCACTTCTTTATTCCCTTCTACTCCAGCTTCACCACAAACCACCGCTGAGTGGATTGTGCATCACTTGTTGCAACTTGTACTTAAGCCAATGATGCTTTTACTTCATTTTAGCCACATATACCACTACTACATTCATGGACCTAAAGGAAATGACATGAGGGGTACAACAAAAGAAGTGGGATCTTACAACAACATCGATATAGAGGTAAATTAAACATTACTTTTGATTTAATATTTTTCATCAGTAATAGGAAATAATTTTACAGCTAAGTTATCTATTGCAAGCCAGAGCATTTTTAAATTAATATGTTGCTTCATAGAAGAGTGGATCACGAGTGAGGATTTTTTTCTCAAATGTTTTTTCAAGAATTGATGCTTAATAGATTTCTCATTGCTTCTTGTCCCAAAAAGCTGAGTAGTTTGATTTACTGTTTGTTTAATCTTGAATACTGATGAACTCCAGGAGGAAAGAGGTATTGGTCTCAACGATGTATTAAAATACCTTTAGTTAAAATTGATTGAACGTGAAATAAAAAGCATTTGTTATTCCTAATTCTAACTACAGTAAAAAACATTATAACACCCTGTATTATAATGACCTGCTCTGCCTTCTGCCACTTCCGCAACATCGCCTGGCTACGCCAATGCCTCTCCCCTCAGGCCACCGAAACCCTCGTCTACGCGTTCGTTACATCTAGGCTCGACTATGCCAACTCTCTGCTTGTCGGCCTTCCTAACTCTTCCCTCCACAAGCTGCAGATCATCCAGAACTCTGCAGCTTGTGATCCTATCATCCCCACCCTCACCCAACTCCACTGATTTCCCATCTCCCAGAGGATAGAGTTCATAATCCTTGTCCTCGCCATCAAGGCTCTCCACGCCTTGCTCCTTCCTACCTCTGTGATCTACTAGCCCCATATTAACCTGTCTGCTCCCTCCGCTCAGCAGGCTCTGGCCTGCTCCACATCCCTTGCAGGGCATGCCCCACCACCGGTGATCCCACATTCACTTTGCCTTGCTCCATCCCTTGCCTCCTTCAAGGCACGTCTCAAGACCCTCCTCTTCAATGGCGCCTTTGGCCACTCCTATGTGCCCTGCCTCCACTCTCCCTGATCACAACCCCCTGCTCGGGTCCAAATTCCTGACTGTCCAGTGCCTTGGGATGTCCTCCTGACGTCAAATGTGCTATACAAATATAATTTTGTATTGGGATTAACATACTGGATATCAAAACAGTTAAATATTTTTATATCTGATGATAAAAGGCCAATGTTTTGATAGATAAACATTGTTTTTTGTATGACAGAGTGGCCTTGTCCTCCACAACAGTTTATTTGTTAAAGCCCGTTTAAGTTAAGTACAGTATAAGTTTATTTAAGTCTATAAAAAAACTTTTTTTTAATTTTGCTCATATTTACAACCTGAATCACTCAGACTTTCGCCATCAGAGAACCAACAGTTAGAACCTCACAGAAGGCAAGGCTGTTTTGACTGTTGTGACAAGATCTCTGAGTAGAAATTTTAGATCTTGCCTTCTGTGAGGTTCGGCCTGATTGTTAAGTAAGTTCGTTTGGATGATATATCCAATATTTTACTTATTGCGATGTATAGAATGTGACTTTATATGTTCTAAGCGAGTGGTGAAATAAAGAGGAGGGGGGAGGAGGGGCATCCTTATTCAACAACAACAACAACTTGGATTTATATAGCGCCCTCCATGCCGGTCGGAGTCTCAGAGCGCTTATTCACATTGTGCATAGGAAGCGGCTGGGATATTGACAGCATAATGATATAAACCAGGGTGGTCCAACCTTTTGGTCCAAGCAGATTCCCTATTTGAGAAAGTTCCAAGGGCTCCATAAATAATATTTTGTGTTTCCCTTCCAGAAACATAACATTCATATACCTTTTTCATATTGGAAGGACATCTCAAAGCACTCAACCCTGTCGGCTAGGCACCTGAACTAGAAGTAGGAGCTGAGAGAGGTGGGATGGGGAGGGGAAAAAATTACCAAAGGAGAGGTCAGAGAGTTAGGACTTGACATGGCTTGAAAGAGGGGAGGGAGGGAGCGAGATGGAGAGATTCCAGGAATGGACGTTTGCTAGGGTTTTCCCTTCCAAAATGTTGAAGTTCAGTCCAAATTGCATAACCCTTAAATTATTTACTGGCTCTTGACTTTTTTGGGAGTTCCTAATTTAACATTAGTGCAAGTACATTAATTTGAGCAAGGTTCAGGATGACCACATTATTATTAAGCATATCATCAGAAAGCTGATTTGCTTATAACAAGGTCTTCTATGGTAGAAGTTGTTACTGGAAGTGTGATACACTTTTGGCGCTGGCTTCCTGTGCATTCGACCTGCCTGATCAACAGCAATATTTTTGTAACTTAATCATTATGTTATAAAGAGGTTGATTTGTACGTTCAATCTTCTTTTCCTCTGATTAGTTACACTGATCATTCTATTGTTGTTTAGCGTCCAAACAGAATGTTTAATTTAAAAGTGAAGAAAACTAAAGTAAATGAAAGTATATATTGATCAAACCTTGTCTGGAATTATTTCCTTTTTCTGATGGATATGATGGTGAGACTGCCTCTTTAATTGTGTTTTTTCAATGTTTACAATTCTGTTGTGCTATTTTATATTTTCTTTATATCAGATCTCAATGTTTGAAAAGGGAAAAGTTCCAAAGATTGTGAATCTAAGAGAAATAAAAGACGACATGCAAACTCGCTTCATCAACACTGCTTCTGACAGCTTTGAGTTTAAAGCACACGTAGAAGGAGAAGGTGTTGTAGAAGGAATAATACGTTATCATCCTTTCCTCTATGATAAAGAAACTTATCCAGAAGATCTGAGCTGTCCATTGAGTAAGAGTGTTTTTTATTATTATTGAATGGTTTAAAGTAAGATGGTCGAATTGCAGAGAGGAATATCAATCTGAACCTCGTTGTAGATCAGTTTAAACCAAATTCTTCCATTTGCAGGCTTCATGAGGGAAGGAAAAGAAGTTACGAGTATGCTGATTTACATGTTGATCAGAATCTTCTCCTTTATTTTCCATCCCCCTCTTACCTTTGAGTTTTGATATCTGCATATATGGTTTGTTGATCATAATCCTAAATACTGTAATGTAGTTTTCAAAGGTTAATTTCCATGGTTTCCCTGGTCTAAATAATGAATGTGAAGTACAGTTGCTTGTACAACAACATTTCTGAAATATGAAATTGTTTAGGGATTTTTTGCTTCTGGCTAGCCTACGCAGTATTAACCAAAAGAGGTGCTGCTCCCAAAGTAAGGTTGGGGAGAAATTGTCGATGGGCAAGAATTTTGACCTTAAATCGCAGCTTTACATGAATTAACACACTTGTGCCTGCTATTCACTCTTCTGATAAACTTTAACACTTATAATAATATGATGGCCAACACACTGTGTGACCTTGCATTGAATAAAACCATGGACTAAATGCACTGAATGGGTGATGGAAGCATTAAAATGGTTTGTGATTTTGGAGATTTTTTTGACTCTTGATCTCCAAATACATTTTTCTGCTGACATTTTGATTTCAATGTATGCCGGCATACAGGAGAATTTAGAGTTTAATTTTGTGTTGTTGCAAGAATTTTTCTTAATTTAGGGCATACTTATTTACACAGATTTGTTTCAAGTCCCAAGTTGTGGAAGGGAATGAGAGAAAATGAAGTACATAAGAACATAAGAATTAGGAGCAGGAGTAGGCCATTTGGCCCCTCGAGCCTGCCCCGCCATTCGATAAGATGGCTGATCTTCAGACCTAACTAATTCCCTTCCCTATCCCCATATCCCCTAATCCCTCTATTTTTTAAAAATCTATCAGTCTCAGTCTTGAAGATGTTCAACCCTTCTGGGTTAGTGAATTCCATAAATTCACTACCCTCTGAGTGAAGAAATGTATCCTCAACTCTGTTCTAAAAGGCTGACCCTTAATTTTAAGACTGTGACCCCTGGTTATAGATTCTCCTACCAGGGGAAACGGACCCTCAGTGTCTACTTTATCCAGCCCTTTAAGAATCTTATGTTTCAATAAGATCTCCCCTAATTCTTCTGTACTCTAGAGAATATAGCCCTAGTTTATTCAGCCTATCCTCATAGGTCAGTCCCCTCATCCCAGGAACTAACTTAGTGAATCTATGCTGCACCCCCTCTAGGGCAAGTGTGTCCTTTTTTAAATAAGGAGACCAAAACTGCACACAATACTCAAGGTGCGGTCTCACCAAGGCCCTATACAGTTGCAGCAAGACGTCCCTACTCTTGTACTCTAAACCTTTTGCAATGAACGCTAACATGCCGTTCGCCTTCTTAGTTGCTTGCTGCACCTGCAAACTAACTTTTTGAGACTGGTGTACAAGGACACCCAAACCCCCTGAACACTAACACGTATCTAATCTCTCCCCCTCTAGAAAATAATCTGTTTTTCTATTTTTTCTACCAAGGTGAATAACTTCACACTTCCCCACATTAAATTCCATCTGCCACCTACTTGCCCACCTCCCTAGCCTATCTATATCCCGTTACAATCTTTTTGCATCATCCTCAGAGCTTACTCTCCCACCTAGTTTAGTGTCACCGGCGAATTTAAGTACGTTACATTCAATGTCCTCGTTTAGATCATTGATGTAAATTGTAAATAGCTGAGGCCCAAGCACTGATCCTTGTGGCACTCCACTAGTCACATCCTGCCAATTTGAGAATGACCCGTTTATCCCTACTCTCCGTTTTCTACCCGTTAGGCACTCTTCAATCCATACTAATATGTTCCCATTAATCCCGTGGGCCTTAACCTTGTGTAATAGCCTTTTGTGTGGCACTTTGTCAAATGCCTTTTTAAAATCTAAATATACTACACCTCCTGGTTCCCCCTATCTAACCTGCTATCAGTGGAGTCCTGTCGCTCAGTGGTTAGAGCACTCACTTTGCAAGCGAGAGACCTGAGTTCAATTCCAGGCAGAGGGCGAAACCTTGGGCAAGTTTCCTTACTCCACACAGAGCCTAATAATAATCCCTCCAAAACCAAAAACAATAATAAATTGGTCATTTTCAATCTATGACTGTTTGTGGGACATTGCTGTGCGCAATTGGCCGCCGCGTTCGCCCACAAATATACAGTCAATTCACTTTACAGTGTGTTCTGTGAAGCGCTTTGGGACGTCCTCCTGACGTGAAAAGCGCTATATCAAATGCAAGGATTATTATTATTATTATTATTATAGATACATCTTCAAAAAACTCTAAAAGATTACTTAAGCATGACTTCCCTTTTGTAAAGCCATGTTGACTCTGCCTAATCTTGTTATGGTCTTCCAGAAATCCCATAACGACATCTTTAATTAAGGACTCAAGAATTTTCCCTACCACTGATGTCAGACTAACTGGTCTATAGTTCCCCATCTTTTCTCTCCCACCCTTCTTAAATAGTGGTGTTACGTTTGCAATCTTCCAATCAAAGGGAACCGTTCCAGAATCCAGAGAATTTTGGAAGATCAAAGATAAGCCATCCACTATCTCAGTAGCCACCTCTTTTAAAACCCTAGGATGTAGGCCATCAGATCCAGGAGATTTATCAGTTTTAAGACCTGACAATTTACCTAAAACCATTTCTTTACTAATATTAATTCCCCCAAGTTGCTCGCTAACATTGTTTTCTTGGTTCTCCTCTACTCTTGGTAGGTTTTCAGTGTCTTCTAAGGTGAAGACAGTAGCAAAGTACTTGTTTAATGACTCTGCCATGTCTTTGTCCCCTACTATAATTCCCCCCGTCTCTGCCTGTAGCGGACTCACATTTACCTTTGACAGCCTCTTCCTCTTTATATATTTATAAAGACTTTTGCAGTCTGTCTTTATGTTCTTCACTAGTTTGCCCTCATATTCCATTTTCTCCCTCTTAATCACTTTTTTGGTTCTTCTTTGTTGATCCTTAAAGTTCTCCCAATCCTCAGGTTTACTACTCATCTTAGCTGTTTTATAAGCTTCTTCCTTTAACTTTATACTTTCCCTAACTGCTCTAGTTAACCACGGTTGGGCCACCTTTCCCGTGGCATTCTTATTCTTCAAAGGAATACGTGCTCGCTGGGAATTTTGAACTATCTCCTTAAAAGTCTGCCATTGCTGGTCTACTGTCAAATCCTTAAGTCTAACTTCCCAGTTTATTTTGGCTAAATCCTCTCTCATACCAGCAAAATTGGCTCTACTTAAATTTAAAACCTTTGCTTCGGACTTAACTACTTCTCTCTCACTTAATGCTAAATTTTATCATATTATGTATTAGTATCTCTAATTTAAATTCTTTAAACTAGTAGGTGAATATTTGTGTCTATTTTTGTCTCAGATGTGATGGATGATGAAGATGAAGACTGCTTTTCTGTTGATAAAGCTGCAAGAGGGAAAAGGCCAATATTTGAATGTTTTTGGAATGGAAGATTAATTCCGTACACCACAGTGGAAGAGTAAGATACTTTGTTACACCAGTTAATTCAATGTCTTGTTTTAATTGTATGTTTGATATTAAAAAAATTGGTCATTTAATCCACGACTGTCTGTGGGACACTGCTGTGCAAAATCGGCTTCCGCATTTCTCCTGTAAAATATACAGTCAATTCACTTTACAATATATTCTGTGAAATGCTTTGAGACGTCTCGAAAATGTAATAAGACACTACATCAAATGCACAGATTTTTATATATTATTTTAAATTTTCCCCTTTGTAGATTTTAGTTGAGGATGGGCTCCCAGACCTCTGCCAGGACAATTATGTGCACAAGAATCTCTGGGTCATTTCATTTTAAATTGAGAGGATTCGCTCTGCTGTCTCTATTTTTTGCAACCTTCCCACATTTTTAACCCAATCTCCTTTATCCCTTTCCTCCCTCATCTGCTGTATAAACCCAAAATATGCTCCCTGCTGATGGACATCCTAAACCTGTCTTTGTCCACCGGTACAGTTCCCACATCTTTCAAAACCGATGTCATCAATGACGCCCACGCACCACCCCCACCCCAACTCCTTTCAAAAAGTCTTCCCTCGACCCATCCTGGTTCCCTTGCTACTTATCTATCTCCAAATTCCCTTCCCTCTCATAGGTACTGGAACGAATCGTTGATTCTCAGCTTTGTTCCCATCACTCCCTGCAAATCGTTTCCTTTACTCCCAGCATGAGTTCCCACCAATCATCCTCTTTGACCACGCCTTAAATCATCTTTATTTGACTAGATCAGAATTGGATTTTTCCACTCCATAGTATATTTTGAATTGTTAAGTTGTTTGCAGGTTTTATTAGTGTATTTCAAAAATGTATTGTGGATATGAAATCTAACTATCATAGTCTGCAGCCTCACACTTTAGTTAAATGTAGTTAGAAGATGCTTTTGGATTAAATAAATCTAATATAATCAGATTCTGCTCCATAAGGACTACTGGAGTTGTAACATTTTAATAACCTGGAATTTGTATGTTTTAACAATTTGTGTTCATGGATACAGTACTTGATGATTACCCAATGTTTTTGAGAGGGAGAGAAAGAGACAAATAGATTCTAAAATACTGTATTCAAGTTGCATGTTTGTAAAATGTTATAACGATAAAATCATCTGGAAATAATGTTGTATTCCTGATAGAATATTCTTCAAAATTGTTACAAAGTGTTTTGTATATGTTATGAAATGTATTGGTTGTTGCTAAAAATTGTATCCTAAAGTTAAGTGGACAATTGTTTTTCTTTTTCTAGCTTTGAGTTTTGTGCTCCTCCCAAAAAAAGAGGATTGGTACCACTAGAATGTTACAACAGGATCTCGGGTATACTTTTCACCAATGATAAATTTCAGGTCAGCACCAACAAGTTGACGTTCATGGATCTAGAACTGAAGCTGAAGGATAAGAACACTCTTTTCACACGTGTTGTGAATGGCCAGGTACTGAAGTTTATTTCATTTTCATTCTTAATTTAAGGCAAACAAAAGTACTAAATTGTGGCAAATTTTATCAGGTCTCCCTGTTCAAGTAAACATTAACCATCGCATGATAATTCAAAAAAGGGTAGGTTCTCTTTGGGTTTTGGCTAACAATGCTCCAGATAAATGGATTATTAATTTTGTGACAATCCGTTCAACCTTACTTTGTGCAAATTGGCTGCTGTTAGCCTAACAGTCAACTAAACTGACAGTAATTACTTACAATGTGATTTAAGGTGTTTCAACTTTAAAGATACTATATCAAATGAAGGGATTATTATATATTGCATCTTGAATACCTCATGCATTAACATTTGTATCAAGATGAAGTTTCTTGGGCAATATTGGTATCGATGGATGCCATGATTAGGGTTAACTCCCGCATAATGAGACTCATGGACTTGTACTTTAAACTGTATTGGTAGCACTGTGACCTGTCTTAAGAGCCCTTTCGATTTTCTTGATTAGTCTTTCCACAGACCTTTGTGAGGTAGACAAGTCCTTGATGAAAAATGTTCCTGTTGCTCGCCACTCTTGCTTATAACTCCATTGTGTAGAGACTTCAAGCAAGCTTGTTTCTTTTGTTAGCTAAGTTCTTTAAAATAATAGCTATCATTAAATATCAGACTTTCAAATTGCTCATTAGTGTTGTACAGATATGTTCTCTGGACTGCAGGTTCTTTGCTTGTGGATATCCTAAGAAAGAGGAGATGGGGAAATGATTTAACTTTTTCTAGATCCATGTGGTTGTGCATTTTCCTATTTGCTTGCATTCTTTTAATAATAATAATATTCCTTGAATTTGATATAGAACTTTTCACATCTTCTAGTTGTCTCAACTGAAACTGTAAACTGAATTGACTGTATATTTGTGTGAGAAATGCGACAGCCAATTGCGCAAGCAGTGTCCAACAAACAGTTGTGGATTGAAGTGACCAATTTTATTATTTTTTTACTTTATTATTGAGGCTCTATGAAGCCCTTTGAGACTTTCTCCTGATATGAAAGGCAGAATATCAGTGTAAGATTGTTGTTAACTAATTAAACATCACCTCCTATTTGTGTTTGGTAAACAACAACATTACATTTGTATAGTGTCTTTTGCTGCACTGTTTTTTTAAGCTTTATTGCCTAATCTTTACATTACTATTGAATTTTAATTCTGATTTATGTTTAAAAGTAATTCACAATTTTTCAACAGTGATTTGCATACATTCCATGCTAAAGGTTTTTTGCACAGGAACATTTTAAATTTTTTGTTGTAACTTGCCATTTAATCTTTTAGGAGCAACGGATGAAAATAGACAGAGAATTTGCTATGTGGCTCAAAGAATGCCATGAAAAATATGACAAGCAAATAAAGTTCAGTGGCTACAGAGGCACAATTGTAAGGTCTGATTTGCCATCTAAAAGAATGCAGGCTCCTTGGGCTGTATATGCAGCGATTGAGTGGGATGGAAAAACATTCAAAACAGACCAGTTGGTGAGTTATATAATTTGAAAAGGCTGAAATGCTCAAGTTTTGACAGTAGTTGAAACTGGAAATTACTGATCTTGTTCCCTGAAGTCTTTTGAAATGCACAATCATTAGCAGTGATTTGCCATTTAAAGGAAGCATCTTGGCACAGTTATTGAATGGGGCAGGAAAATATTTAAAACGGGATCAATGATGAGTTATATAATGTAAAATGGAAGAGAATGCTGGAGCATGGAAATCTTAAAATGCTTCTTGTATTTGCTTGGTGCATTTTCAATGTTAATTATTGCCACGTTTAGTTATTTTAAATGTAAAATAAAATTGTAGAAGTACTTTTTTAAACGGAAATTTGCAGTTTAGACCAACCATAGATATGATCATGTGATCATTTATTGACTGTAGATGTTTTTAAAGTTAACTGTATGTTTAAAGTAAAAGGATGTGGGGGAGTGGGGGGCGGATGAGGTAAGTAGGGTCTCCTTGGAGCTAAACTGGGGCGGAGGGTGCGAGCAATGAGCAGGAGCCCGTTGCCATTCAAGCAGAGTCGCTGGGTGGTGGAGTGGGGAGGTTGGCGGTCCTAGCTGGACAAGCAGCAGGAAAACTTGTCAGACATTGCTATCAATGGCAAGCTATGCAGTTTTAGCTGAATAGACTCCAGCAGTACCCCAACACACACTCTGAAGTCCCCAAGCCTTGGCTCTTGCCAACTTCCGCCTAATGCATTCCAGAATTAGGTACGTAGCATGTATCCCTCCAGGAAGAAAGTGCACATTCCATTCCAACAATCTACCTATGGGATTTCCATGTGTAGGTGGGATGCATGGAAATCTCAGCTTGGGTTGGATACTCTTAAGCAGGTGATGGGTTTCCGCATGTGTTAGACATCTGGCTGACCCCCCAAAAAGTAAAAGGATGTTTATCATACCTGTACAAAATCTCTATTACTGTAGTAAATACTGTAGTCTATTTATGAATACCTTTGCTTGAAAACAGGAAAAATCTTGTTTTTGATACTGATTACTTCTGAATATTAAAGTATAGAATACAATTTTTATTTTAGAATGTAAACATAGGCTGTTAAAATTAATTGGAAATCTGAATTTAGTGGACATCTCCACTGTCTGATCAACTGGAGAATGAGTGTGAAATACCAATGCAAGTGTAGAGACATTTTAAGTGCTCCTTTTATTATTTAAATGAACTTCAGGATGTAATGCTACATTTCTTTTTTCTAGGTTAAAACCATTAAAACAGTGCCAATAATCTATGGAAGCATAGTTCGTTTTCTTCTTTACGGTGACCACGAAGGTGATGTGTTTTCAACTGGAGGAGAAGTTCAGATAGTTGTGGTAATATATGAATAACAATCTGACAGAATTTCATAGTTTAATCATGAAACTACTGTGTATATAAACTTTGTCATTTATTTTAATCCATGATTTAGATAGCAACCAAATGAAAATTTATGCATTCAGCCATTAATTCTAAAAAAATACATATTGTAGCTTTTGTTTTCAAACAAATCAGGAAAATGTCATTATTTCTAAACTAGTGACGCCATCAATTAAAACCTGTGGACCACCTCTTAATTCCAAAGACTTGGGAGAAAGCCCATGCCTGAAGCTGTAGAGAGAGAATCCTAATAAACAGCCTTTTATGTGGGAGAGAAAAAAAATTCCTCTGTTTCTCATCTCACTTGAGGCTTGTTATTTTAAACTTATGTCTTACTCAAACTTAGTTCTGCTCTTCTTTGAATAGTCTTTCTATTGTACCACTGCCTCGATTTTAAAGGTATTATTGTGTCTCCTTCCCCCCACTAAACATGATTTTCGTTCAGATTTTTAGAATTTAGAGCTTTAAATCCCTGAAGTATCCTTACACTCTAAACCTTGCTTTATCCAATGGATCAATATGTTGCCCAAAATAATGTTTTTTTTTCAAAATGTGATCTATACAAGGTTAGAATTTCTTTCTACTTTCATTCAAATGCCTTCAAAGGACACTAGAAATTGATTCGTTTTAACAACTGCGGCTATTGGTGCATGATAAACAATTCTTCAAATTATTTTCCTCTCTTCCATTACTAACACACAGCTCTAACAATCATTTTCCTACATTTACCTACTTTAAAAACAATTTGCATTATTGGTCCATGTCTTTTTGAATTTTATTTATCTTGAAAATTTTAGGAGGACTGTAAATTAAATGTTGGCAATAATATGAATTTCATTGGCCTAGGTGTTGACATGGCTGTTTTACTGTAGGAGCACAACATCTAAGCCAGATCTTGCAAAGGGCTCACTTGATCTTTTTTGGGAGCCGTCACCCTGGCTGACTCTTAGTGTGTGTGTATTTGAGTGTCAGTCATATGCATGACAGTTTGATGTTTGTTCTCCTGACTGGACCTGTTTAAATAATGATTGTGTAAGCAGAAAAAGGTCTTGGCTCAAAGATGCCTGATGTTTAGGCTCCACTCCTGATTCAACAGCAACCAATCATGACAAACAGTGTGTATGATATACATACATGGAATAAAAGCCTGGGAACATAAGGAATTTTAAAACATAATGTTTAGGCTGCATATAACTGACATTCCCAGGGTTGGCACTGCCAATTGATTGTGGTTCATCGTATAGCAGACGACTCAACATGAACCCAACAGAAAAGGGATTCAACAGTTTTTCACGACTTTGTAGTGCAGATTTAAACGTAATATGTGGATATGGTGACTAAGTTACTGTGGCTTAGTGAACTATTTACTTTATGTTTCCACCTAGGAACCCAAAGCCTTATACGATGAAAAGAAAACCATTCCAATTTCTAAACTGGATAGAACTGCAGCTGTTTTTATGATCAAGAAATACATAGAAGATGAAATGGCAAGGTGCTGCACATTTATATTTATCGTTTATTATTTGGTATTTGAAAGGAGTCTTTATGGCTGTCTTGCCTTTGGGTCAGAAGATGTGGGTTTAAAGATCCATGTTGGACTTAATCTCATAGTCTAGGCTGATGTGAAATGTTATAGGCACTATAGACCCAAAATTTCATCAGCTCTTAGTCTATTGAAATTACATTGTCTTTAAATTTAAATACTTATTAAATTTGTATTCAGATTGATATATGTACATATACGTTTTGCCCACGAAATATAGTGAATTCACTTTACAGTATATTCTATAAAGCGCTTTGAGACGTCTCGAAGACGTGATAAGGCACTATATCAAATGCACGGATTATTATTTATTCCTGGCATTTGTTTAAAACAGGCTCCCTGACAAACTGTCTGTAACTTGGCCAGAAGGAGATGAACTTAATACAAATGAAACCAGACCAGCAGGGGTACCCATAGGTAAGTAGAAAAATTCTTGCAATTTTTTTTATTTCATAACTTCTCCAAGTAAATGTGGTAAAAGTTTGAGCAGCATAGTCACAGATTTACTTCTGTGGTACCCTACATAGTTCACTATATTTAATTTTAGATGTTTCAGTGTATCTGATGTATGTGTATGCAAAATTGCTCTATCATAGAATTACATATATTACATATAATTATGTAATGTATAGATAATTATTTGGGGAAGACAAGTTTGCAGGGGTATGGGGAGAGAGCGAGAGAGTATGATTGATTTGGATAGCTCTTTTGAAAAAGCCAGCACAGACACAATGGGCTGAATGGCCTCCTTCTGTGCTGTATAATCCTATGATTCTATCAATCAGCAACAACAACAACAATATTACATTTGTATAGCGCCTTTCACATTGGGAGGACAAGGCACTGGACAGTATACAGCATTTCAATCACATAGAATATACAGCACAGAAACAGGTCATTCGGCCCAACTGGTCTATGCTGCCGTTTATGCTCCACATGAGCCTCCTCCTGCTCTTCCTCAACTAAGCCTATCAGCATAACCTTCTATTCCTTTCTCCCTCATGTACTTATCTAGCTTCCCCTTCATCAATGCATCAATGCTATTTGCCTCAACTACTCCTTGTGGAAGCAAGTTCCACATTCCCACCACTCTCTGGGTAAAGAAGTTTCTTCTGATTTCCCTATTTGATTTATTGGCGACTATTCTATATTGATAGAATAGCCCCTGGCCCCTGGTTTTGGTTTCCCCCACAAGTGGAAACATCTTCTCTATGTCTAACCTATCAAAACCTTTCATAATTTTAAAGATCTCTATCAGGTCACCCCCTCACCCTTCCCTTTTCAAGAGAAAAGAGTCCAAGCTTGTTCAGCCTTTCCTGGCAGGTGTAACCTTGCAGTTCCAGTCTTATTCTTGTAAATTTCCTTTGCACCTTTTCCGGTGCCTCTATATCCTTTGTATAATATGGGGACAAAACTGTACACAGTACTCCCAAGTCTGGTCTAACCAAGTTCGATATAAGGTTAGCATAAGTTCCCTGCTTTTCATTTCTATCCCTCTAGGAATGCACACCAATGCTTGGCTTGCTTTTTATGGCTTTATTAACCTGCATCGCTACTTCTAACGATTTGTATATCTGTACCCCCTACGTCCCTTTGCTCCTCTAGCCCATTTATATTCTTATTCTTATATCAGAACACTATTGTGCAATTCCTTAAGAGAACTGGCTACATTGGAACTGACCGATATATCTACTCGTTTAAAATTTTCTATCTCACTTTACAAATACTTTTTACTTGCAGGTGCAATGAGGATAGAAATTTTAAATAAAAGGGGTGACACTATGCAAAAACTTCCAGGAACAGTCCAGGGTGGATCTAAAAAGCTGCTGGTTGAACTGAAAGTCATCTGGCACTGTAAGTATGACACAATGATTGAAAGCTTGACACTGGGTTTCCTTGGATTATTACAATTTTGCATGTAATTAGTTTCAGATTTTATAATTGTGAATGACTGTACACCCTGGTTTCCTCAAACTACTAAAATCAATGATACTCACTATATTTAAACATTTTGTTTTATTCTGTACACGACTCACAAATTGTTCCCCTGTGAGGAACACAATATCAATGCAAGTTGTTTGAATTTTTTTTGAAAATTGTGTAGAAGTATGAATTTCACTATGGAATATCAACTGATTGAGCAAGTATATTCTGTGGGAAATGCAAGTCAACTTCATTTTCCTTGAATTGTTCAAATCATTCTTGCCAATTCTTTCAACCTCTTGATTCAAATAGAAGTTATATTATTTACCCAGTGGCATCATCTCTAATATTCCTTAAAGAAATTTAACATAATGAGTCCATTGTCTAAAGTGACCCCTAATTCAGCAATACATTTCTTCTCAGAAGGCACAGTTTGGCTACCCTTGTATTGCTTATCCGTGCTTACTGTCTACCTTTGGTAGCAATGTTACTCGGAAAACCTGTGCTATTTAGATTTGTGAAAAGTAGCAGAAAAATATCCTTCATTTGGCTGACATTTTGCTCAGAATGGCATTTAGTTGCCAGACGGAAGTAATGCAATGCTTCTCCTTCAATATCCATAGGGTAATGCATCTAAATTATATAGAGCATCAACTTTATTTCAACAGTGGAAAAGGCCATCTTTTACTCAAGTTACACATTATGAAATTGTGCAATAATATTGCTAAGGTCAGTAATTAAGCTTCTGTTACTTTTATAGATGAGGTGACAGATTTTGTTATTGTATTATAGCTTCCACCGGTGACAAGGAAATAGTTTCTCACATCAGTCAGCATGGTGGTAAATGGCCATACTGGTTCAAAAAGATGGGTGAGTATTCTTAAGACATTTTCAATAAATGTTCAACATTTCAATATAGTATATTTATTCAAGGAATATTCTTCGATTTTTCAGAAAATATCAATAAACTTGGAAACTATATGCTGAAACTGCAAGTGGTGTTGAATGAAAGTAATGCAGACAAATATGCAGAAAGGCCACTACCAAATAGGATTTTCAAATTCACTGTCACAGGTAAAGAAATTCCATTGTTTCATTTGAAACCATACATCATCGCTTTTTGTTTAATTAGGTTATACTGTACGATGGAGTTAATGCTTAATCTTTTTTCTTGTTTTTGTAAGAGGGCAAACCTGATAAATTTACAGTCGGATTGCTGGATCCTCCGTTTCGGATTGGAGTTCCTTTCAACATTCCTCTGGACTTGCAAGATGAATTTGGGCATTCCACAAAAATGTCTTTTGGTATCAAGCCAATTCTGGAGGCAAGGTATTATAAATATCAGAAATGTACAATTTAAATGGTATTATGAATACATTTCAATTCAGTAACCATATTGCTTCTCTAGTTAGTTTGTTCCCTTCTTCAAGTGTCTGAATTTCTGTACCATTTTGGTGTAGAAGAAAATTGGAAGGCTTAGAAGGAATTCCTTTACTCAAAAGAGTTTGAAATTCATTATTAGAAGTTTCCCGTGAGGCTATTGATAGAATCTTTCAAAAGGGAATTGGAATAAGCAGCTGAGCAGTAAACATTTAGTGATATCGGGAGAGAGATGAAAAGTGAGATTAATAAAAGAAGATTCAGAAAAATAGGTAACAGTTGCACAGACGTGATGTGCTGAATGGTCCCTTCTGTTCAGATCGTTTCTGTTCTGAAAAGTACATAATATAGAAATGTTATATTTAAAGCATATGTAGTAATTACCATCATTGTATTTACCTAACTAAACAACTGTAAAACTAGCCACCATTCTCCCTGTAGATTTACGCTTACTGTAATCTATATAATGTTAGTTGGATAGAGCTGAAGTATATACTAATAAAGACTAAATGGCTGTCTGTGTGTCTGTCTGTCTGTCCGCTAAGAACGCAATAACCAATTGACATAGAGCCCAATTGACGTATACCTCATTGGAATGGTCTTACATGGACATATATGTTTTTGGAGATCTCCTATCATTCATGAACTATGTTAAAAAGTGTTTTAATTATACCCCAAAATATGAGGTATGCATAGTATTCTGCATCAAAGTAGTGACAGGAAGTCACACACCCTTCTAGAGAGATACATCGAGAGAGGGAAAGAAGGGATTGGTGGAAAAATTCAATGCTACATTTTTTAAATTAAATCTCTCCCCCTCCCCCCAAAAAATATGCTGAGTCCCTCAATCTCTCGAGGGTAAGGGTGAGAGAGGGTTTTTTGGGGAGGGATTGGGGAGAGAGGAATTGTTATATGAGTGAGTGTTTCGGGAGGGAGGAGAGAGGGTTAACGTAAAGCCTGAGGCCTGCTCAGACTGACTACGTACCAGGAGCTGAGAGAGAGATCCCAGCACAGCTCACACAACGCACGTTTGTCCGCCAACAACCGATTGACGTTATATTATCTCATTTATACCTCAATAATTTATATCTCATCGTAAAGATCTTGCTTGGGGAAGTGTCATGGGCATATTTTTGGGGGAGGATCTCCCATCGTTGATGAGCTATGGCCTAAACAAGCTCATCACACATGTATGGCAGTTTTGCTTAAGGTGTACACACCGTGTTTATGGAATGTTAAATGGTTTGTGAGTTGCACTGAAATCTACATTCCATATTGGACCTTTGATTGCAAGCTGCAATGGGTACAGATAGTTGGTTATAAAAATTGTTCAATGTCAACTCTTAAATTTTCTCTTTTTGATCTAGTAAGCATATACTTTACCATCAAGAACAACTTAAATGTTGCAGTGATTGCTACAAACGTTTGTGTATAAGGTGACAATTTCTTTATATTAAAAAATATATCTTGCAGTGGATTGGAGCTGCGAAATGAAGGCTTTATGTCAAAAGGGTCCACCTACATTATTAAAGGTGCAACAGCCAAGGGCCATGTGAACAATTGCCAAGGCAAGGTATGTTGAATTAATGAAACCACTAAAATTGGTCTTATTTTTGTTCAATATAATAATAATACATGCATGTGATTATAGTACTTTTCACGCCTTCTGAACGTCTCAAAGTGCTTCAAATATATATTTATTATATTGCAAATAGAACACTGAATGTTGGTAAGAGTAGTCCAAATTTATAATTTTTAAATGTACTGTTGATTGTCTTTATTACCACTGAAAGTGAGTAAATGCTACTCAACAATTTCAGTAAACTGCTATCTGTATTATGAACATATTATCCTGTTTATCGTTGTATTATTGTTTTACAGAACTTTAGTCTTAAAGTAATTTTGCCTGGATTGAAAGAAGATTCGCAAACATTAAAAATTAGGCTTTTGCCTGGTAAGTTTTTCAATACTTATAGTGACTTAAAATAATCCTTACATGTCTATCAAACTGTTCTGGAATATAAATGGATTATAAAAATAATAGTTGAGAATCATTCTGATGTGAATGATTGAATAGTTTTTAAATCTTCTGGGGGAACATAGCTCAAATTGGAAGGAGTTATTCATTGCTGCTTCAGACCTATAAACCTAATAACTGTTCATTACAGGGCCACCTCGTGAGCTCAGGGTACACCCTAGTTCTAGCAAAGTAGTCATTGAAAATGGCACAGTCTTTCCTTTCCAAATTGATGTGTTGGATCAAGCAAAAAATATTACAGCACAGCCAAAGTTGGTGATTCATTGTAAGGTATGTTAGTTTAAATTTGAAGAGTTATTTTTAACTTTTGATTTGCTACTTTTGTTCGCTTTTCCTCACTCCTCTAATGGCCTTCAATTTTATATCTGCCGAAGTCCCTATTTAAATTTCCTGTTAAATCCACTTACATTTCTCTGCACTAGTCATATTAACAATTCTCAACTTGTAACACCGATACCGAACTTGCCGGCTGTCGGTCAAAACTTTGTTTCCCGTGCCTACCTCAAATGGAAGACCGCACATTTGCACCCCGACGCTCTTCATGCCTTCCCTCTCAGGTGTGTAACTTCAACGTCATAGTGAAAGTCAGCGGGGAGACAGGAAAGAGCATTACCTGATCACATTGGAGGGGGTAAGGAATCTCTGATCACATGGAGAGTGAAGAGGACCCTTCACCACATACGCACTTGTCAGCTTTGAAGCAGTATACGCAGTGCTCCAAGCGAGACAATCGCGGAACCTAGCTCCTTACCCATCCTGCGCACTTGCCGGCTGCAATGCCGAAGGACCTCACAAACAGTACAGAACAATGAACAAGTACGAAAGGCGAGGTTTTGGCCAGACATCAGGCAACTAAACACAAATTAGTGACAAGGACCTATCAGGAGAAGTACCAAATTCTCCCAATTTTGCAAGGCAAATCATGAAATGAAAAAGGACATTGCCTCCAAATTTGATTTGAAGCCACAGACTTTGAATGGTTACCTCTAGAACAAGAAGAACATTAATTATGCCACTGAAACATGCTTGATTGTACCATTCATTGTATAGTACATGTTTTCTGCACACTGCAGTACTGTATATGGAAAGATTGAGCTACCATAGCTTTACTATGCATGGGTTAAACATGGTACATAAACCTTGCCTTAATGTCACCAGCCAGTTCAGAACATGTGGTGTATTCGTTATGTGTAAGTCATATGAAATCCGACTTACACATAACTTTACATAAGTCATATATGATCCAATACAAAATTACATTTGTAAAGTGCCTTTCATGACGGGAGGACATCCCAAGGCGCTGAACAGTCAGGGATTAGGAACCGAGTGGTGGGGTAGAGGACAGAGGTTAGGAAGGTGACAGAAGGCATGGTAGAAGAGGAGGGTCTTGAGGTGAGGTGTGCCTTGAAGGAGGCAAAGGAGGGAGCAAGGCAAAGCGATTGTGGGATGGAGTTCCAGAGGGTGGGGGCAGAGAGGCTGCAGGATCGACCACTGATGGTGGGGCGGGCCAGGCAGGGCACTTGGAAAAGGTCGGAGTCTGCTGAGCGGAGGGAGTGGACGGGTTGAAAAAGGTTTAGCAGGTAGGAGGGGGCAATGCCGTGGAGGGCCTTGAAGGTGAGGACAAGGATTTTGAGCTCGATCCTCTGAGGGATGGGGAACCAGTGGAGCCATGCAAGGGTGGGTGTGATGGCATCATGGAGCCTGATGCGGGAGAGGACACGAGCAGCAGAGTTCTGGGTGATCTGCAGGCCAGTGTATGGTGATAGGACTTGTGCAAGTTTGACATAACTCATACTTTGCATAAGTCATATTAAATATATGGTCCCAACTGATACAACTTATGTCAGGTTTACTGTACTTGCTACATTAGTGGTTGTTCTTTTTAATTAATTGGAATAAAGGAAATTGAGAAGTCATGCAATTGAAATCCTGTGACATTATTTAATCGTTAATTTGGATGCATTGTACAAGTGGAAACCGTTTAAGTATTGTTTGTTGTTAAATGCTGCAATCCTATTCAAGACAACTTTCAGTTTTTCAAGAAAAATTAATTACAGTAAAGAAGCAATTATACTAATTGGGACCAGCCACATTGTTGATATGCGAACAATGTGGATAATTGATCAGGCAAAATACAAATGGGCTATAGTGCTATCCAAACAATTCTTCCAACAAGAGTTATGCTGTTCGTATAATTCCACATTCTGTTGGTCTATTTTCTATTTTTCTCAATCTCCCGCCTTTGTTCTTATTTTGTTTCTCATGTAATTGTACATTATTTTCTTGCAGTTTCTGGGTGCACCAAACCTGCCTGTTTATACAGTGGACTGCAGCAACACTGGTACAGGAATCTTAACTGGCCCCGTGATACACGTACAGAATATTAAGAAGGACCAAACATTGAGAGCGAGGTTTGAGATTCCGGTAATAAAATATTTTGTCTAAAGACTCTTTAGAAACTACAACAACTACTTGCATTTATTATAGTGCTCTTTAAGCTGGGCAGAGTCTCAGAGCGCTTAAAATCATTTGGTTCAAACTGCAGTCAAACTTCTTAAAGCAACCACCTCTATTCAGCAACCATCTGATGTCAACAATCACCCTAGCACAGTCCGGACAGATTTTCCATAATAAACAACCTTTATTCAGAAACCACTTGTCTAACGCAGCCAGTGGACATTCTTTTTTAGCCCAGTCGGTATACAGACACCCTTTTTAGCAGCTAGTTCCAGTCCGATGGGCTGCTCAGTGTGGTGTTGGCCCATGCTAGGACTTCAGTGGGAGTCTACACGTGGGGTCCCTATGAAAGTTTTGGCCCATGGAAGCAGTAACGATTTGGATTTTGTAATTGATTTATTACTATATTAAAACTAGTTTGATTTAGGAGTTTGCATGCACTGAATTTTTCTATACACTTACAAATTCTACACAACAACAAACCCTTACTCAGTGGCCACCCTAATTTATAGGCCACTTTGGTCCACTCCCATAAGCAGTGGTGAAAACAGGTTTGACTGTATAAGATTGTGGATTGTATTTAAGTGGTTGTGATCTCTTTTATAGGACTTTGAACGGTAAACTGGAAATAGTTTTGCAAAACTATTGCAAAAAGTAGTTTTGCTGGCTACTTTATTGGAAATTGTGTACAACAAGTGATTTGGCCTAACTGGTTGTTAAATAAAGGATAAATAAAGAACATTAAATTGTATACAACAAGTGATTTGGCCTAACTGGTTGTAGTGGTGTTTATATTTCATTCCTTCCTAAACCAAGTTCCTTTCATATTTATGCCCCTCCCTGCATCTTGGACTCAACAAGTGGAAACAACCTATTAATTCCCATCTTATCAACTCTTTTTCTTATCTTACAAACCTTTAAATTTATATCTGTTTATCCCATAGAGCTGTAAAGATGTGTCACCAGTGGAGAAGATAATCAAATTGCTTCCTAGCACTCATGTAGCCAAACTCCAGATCTTTGTCCAGGATGGAGTGAAAGCTGTTCCCATCAAACATCAGGAGGAAATCAACTGGATTGCTGCTGACATCATTCACCATCTTATCTTTCGAATGTATGATGAGGGTGACCGGAAAATTGTAATAACTACAGCACTGGCTGAGAAAATCAAGGTAGCTTATATGGTTTTTTGTTAAATTCCAAAATTGATTGGAAAATTATGATTTTATTCTTGTGGGTTTATTATTCCCACAAAGTTTGCTAAATTAAAATTCCACCAAAGTCATTGTTTTTTTACAGTAAAATAAGCCAAAATTTCATACGGGTTTTGTTGAACCCCTTTTTTCCTAACATTTCAGAAAACAAAATAGACTATTTAGAATTTTTTATTTTAGGTCAACTGGACACCACGGATAAATAAAGAACATTTGATTCAAGGATTATTGCCTGACGTAAAAGTGCCAAGCTCTGTTAAGGATGTACGATACTGTCAAGTCTCATATCAAGATGATCATGTTTCACTGGAAAGTGCCTTTACAGTCAGGTAATAGAAAAAGATCTTGTCTTTTATTTCCAGACGTTCCTGCTCTGTTCCTTAAGAGCGGGTCAGGCAAGCATTCTATGTCATTTTAATTTGTAGTTTAATGAAGGTATTGGTATGCGATGTATAGATAACCGATACTTTCAGTTATTTTTAGAAAACTATGAGAAGGTTAAAATGATCTTTACCTCCTCCCCTACTAAACATAAAGGTGTTGCTCTAAGACATGCTTTGACATCAATGATAACTGAGTGCCTAAGAATCGAGGTAACTGGTACCTGGCTATATAGAAAAGAAAGAAGGATTCTATCCTACATGTATAGCTTTCAAAAATATAACTAGTGGGTGAATTTGAACAGAAAGTACTCCCACTACATTAGAATTTTCTTCCCCTTTTTAAGCGGGGTGTAGATTAGTCGTGTATACAACAACAACACGATTACATTTGTATAGTGCCTTTCATGTTGGGAGGATGTCCCAAGGCGCTGAACAGTGTACAGCATTTCAGTCCCAAGCTGGGGTCAAGGGGGAGAAGGGAGGGGAGGGGAAGAGGGGTGACTGATAGATAGAGAACCAATGGAGTCGGGGGAGATGGGGGTCACGGAGTTTGGTGTGGGAGATGACACGGGCTGCAGAGTTCTGGGTTGTCTGCAGCCTGTGGGAGGAGTTGGAAAGTACGCCAAGCAGGTATAAGTGTATAAGGGAAGATTAGATTAGAGGAATGATTGAGGGAATAAGTATATATTGAACAGGTTGATGCTAGAATATATTATTTATTTTCAGCAGTGGCACCTGCAACTTAATCCCTTTTAAACTTGCATGTAAAGTATAAACGGAATATCTATCTGGAAAGGGAATCTGTCAGACAAAGCTGTAAAGATTTTTGTGTTCAGAATGATAGAATATTATTGCAAATAGTATAACCGCTTAAAAGTAAGCAGCTAAGACATTTTGAAGAAGCAATGTTTTTTAATCTGCAGTTTTTAAATCTTTTTTAGACCACAGCCAGATGATCCCAAGCTTCTGAAATGTACCTTGAAAGGATTAAGTACTGTGCAGATGGGTGAACAATTACAAGGAGTAATATGTAAGTGGATTTCAGTTTTGAAATAAGATGAAGTGGTGCCACTGATGATGACCTGCTGCTATACATAAGCATTGTTTTCAGGAAATGTAATAGATTTCTCTTGAAGAGCATTTCCCTCAAATAATGTAGTCCAGGTGACTGAAGGAATAGTTGAAGAGGTAGGTTTTTAAGGCGATTGAAAATGGGGAAGGGGTGAGATTAACATAAGAGAGGATGTTTGATGGTGGGTCAGGGTTTCTGAAAGCTTGACCATTGATGGTGGCCCAACGAAGTACAGAAAACACAGTACACCTAAATTTGCTGAGCGTGGGGAGCGAGCAGGTGAGTGACATGGAGAAGGTCATAGCTAGGGAGATGCAAGGCCCATGAAGAGATTTGTCGCACCTCAGGCGCTGACACCATCAGCATCCAAGGCTGCACTCTCCACCTCTCAAAGCCGGTCAGGAACCTCGGTGTTTTGTTCGACCCTGAGCTGTCCTTTCTCCCTCACATCCGCACCACAACTGGCACCGCCTTCCATCACCTCCGGAACATCGCCAGACTACGGCATTACCTCACCCCTCACGCTGCTGAAACCCTGGTCCACGCCTTTATCACCTCAAGGCTGGACTATGGGAACTCTCTCCTCGCCGTCCTTCCCGCCACCTCCCTCCACAAGCTGCAGTTCATTCAGAACTCTGCAGCTCGTGTACTGTCCCGCACCAGGCTTCGGGACCACATCACTCCCACCCTCGCTCGCCTCCACTGGCTCCCTATCCCCCAGAGGATCGAATTCAAGATCCTCATCCTCACCTACAAGGCCATTCACGGTCTTGCTCCCTCCTACCTCTCCAACCTACTATCCCCCTACCTACCTGCCCGTACCCTCCGTTCCTCTGGCTCCGGTCTGCTCCACGTCCCCCGCCCCAACCGCCCTACCATCGGTGGTCGGGCCTTCAGCCTCTCAGCCCCCAGGCTCTGGAACTCCATCCCCCAGTGCCTTCGCCTTGCTTCCTCCCTCTCCTCCTTCAAGGCCGGTCTCAAAACCTTTCTCTTTGACCGTGCCTTCAGCTCCCCTCTCGACTCTCTTCCCCCTCCTCGCTCCCTCCCTTCCCTCCCCTCACCCTGACCATTTCCCCCCTCCTTGCTCCCTCCTTTCCCTCCCCTCACCCTGACCATTTCCCCCCTCCTCGCTCCCTCCCTTCCCTCCCCCTAACCATTTCCCCCCTGCTCGGGTCATGACCCAACTGTGCAGCGCCTTGGGACGTCCTCCTGACGTGAAAGGCGCTTTATAAATGGAATCTTGTTGTTGTTGTTGTTGTTGTTGTAATGCACCCGAATTTTGAAGTGAGGATTTTGATGTTGATCCACTGGAAGACTGGATCCTGGTGAGGACACGTGTGATGGATATACAAGCTGTTTTGCTGGTGAGGATGCGACAATACAGTTTTGTATGAGTTGGAGCTTGTCGATGGTGGAGCTGGGGAGGCTAGCAAGGAAGGCTCTTGAAAAGTCTAGCCTGGAAAAGTTAAAGGCGTGAATGAGGGTTTCAAAAGCTTTGGGTGGGTGTGAGACGAGTGATGTGGTGAACTAGTGGAGGTTGTACACTAGTTCAATGAGTTGGAAAGAGACATTGGGTGGAAATTCTGAGTCGACTTTTAGTTTCTGCAGCTTAGTAGGCTTTCATGTGGTTTAAGTGAATGAAGTAAGTTTTGATTTATCTATAGTTACTTATTCTTTGTAAATGGACATGAGACTTCAGTCAGAGTTCCTACCTAACCTATTCCTTTTTTTGTAACCTGTTCTTGGTTTTGAGTTGCTATATTTCAGTGCTTTTGCTGTTTCTTATATGTTCAGTGTCGTCTTTCATAATGGAGTCAGAAGTGGTCAATTTTAGACAAGCATAGGGTTTTTGATGGGACAGTAGGTCTTAGTGAGTTGTCCCCATATAACACCTGTGGAATAACCTAATTCCAGCTGTACGTGAAGTTTGGAGCCAGGAAGACCATACTTTGCTGTTGACGTTTGTTGTCATTCATTGCAATACAATTATGCCTTATTTTTAATAGCTGCAATACAGCTATATTTCCTGTTGGTGGTAGTGTTAAGCTGATCGAAGTAATTCCAGTTAGTGGTCACAGTTTATCTGGTGAGTTAATAGTACTGAACACCCAAAGCACCAGGTGAAATAGTTAATGTGTGAGATATAAATAACAGAACAATCCAGTCATTTGATGTTTCTAGGGTTTCTGCACACATTAGGGTATTGCTTGTCATTCGACAGGGAACGTTTTCCTTAAAAAAAGATTTAATTCTTTGGAAGCCAGATGACTTTTGCTCTCTTTATGATATTACTTTTAAACTTTCATTAAGAGTTATTTTCCAACTAATTTCGGCAACAATTTTATGGCGTTTGCCTTGAGTTAATTATGAATGGCTTCCTACTATGGCACTTTATGTGCTTACAGGTGCTTTTTTCCTTTAGCAGGAACTTTTATTCTTCCAATTTTGTTTTCACTGTTCAAGGTAGTTCTAACATTCAAGGTGATACTATAGTTAGCTTTACTGTTCGTTTATGTCATGAATATCAACTTGTTTTAAACCAGCCACATTTCACTGCAGCATTGATTGCCATAGAGACTTATTTTGTTGTTATTGACCACTTTAAGCTGAAGCATCAGCTAGTTTCATCGGAGCATAACTGAAAAAGTGATTTCAATTGCAAATATGCTTGCAATTCATTTATTTCACGAGATCTCAGCTAAATATGGTGTGAAATCCTTCCAAGGGTAGGAACACTCTACAGCTGTATATGAATAGCTTTGTTGAGAGCAGTATATCCAGCAATTCACTTGGATTACCTCACAATGAGCCAGAATAGCTGGTTAATAATAATAATAATAATAATAATCCTTGCATTTGATATAGCGCTTTTCACGTCGGGAGGACGTCCCAAAGCGCTTCACAGAACACACTAAAGTGAATTAACTGTATATTTGTGGTTAAGATAGTTTGGGGATTTTTACCCTATTTTTTCTGGCCTGGATTCTCGTATTTTCAACTGATTTCTTAAGTGCGTTCCTTTTCAAGTTCCAATGACTTCCAAACAATTTTAAGGAGCATGAAGAGAACTTCCAGGTTATTACAGAAATTATTTTAAAATTGGCATAAGTGATCTTGAACTGCTAGTTATTTCAACAGTGTCAGCTAGTTACATTAGAATCCTTTGAAGGGAGAAGCTTCTGTGAGTCTGTTTTTCATTTAAAACAAAATGCTGCTGGAATTTATATAATTTTGAAAGATTGGTGAACTATGCATTTTCTGGTGATAAATCTACATATCTTGAATGGCTTTCAGAAGTGAACATTTCTAGGCAGCAACTCTCATTTCAATTAAAGACAAATGAATTTAATTTCTTGGTGCTGAAGTTCTGCTGGTCATAATACTATTTCTACTGAGAGGAAATATTGCCTTTCAAAGAACATTGGTGTGAAGTACAAAGTTTTCATTGGTCTAAACAGTTGTGTCCTAGAGCTGTAGCTGTCCACATTGCAAACCATAAGTTAGCAAATTGCGTAGTGAATTACATCTGCTTGTATTCTTCCTTGGCAGGAAGGGACCCACCAGGGAAAAGTTAGAACGAATAAGATGGATGCTTGGGGCAACATGCAAGAAGCTACATCTGGAAAACATTTTAGGAGGTAGCAATTGAACCAAGTGTGATTGTCTAGGCTAGTTAGCTGAAGATAAATGCTTTGGGACAGTAGGGCTTCCTCTTGATAAAGGAAACATTTGGAAACTCACCATCAAAACTGCACCATTTAGTTTACTTCTGTATGTGTATGTCAAACAAATAAAAGTTGTAGTCTTCATTCTTTTAACATGTTGAACCACCCAGCCCTACCATATTTCTCTCTTCTGACCTGCTGGGCTTTAGATCTCCCTTTGTTTTGATTTTTCAAGTTTTCGGTGCTCTCATTAGAACTTTATGCTGCTTGCTTCTAGATAAGTCACAAAGTGAAGCTACATTAAAACAGTCAATGAGCGCCGGGCCGCTGAACTTACCTGCCTCAAATCTGGCCTAATGGTCCACCGACAAATCTGGCTGGACCTCCTCAAAATCTACCACTCCACTCTAGCCTCGGCCAAGTCGTCCTTCTACTCCAGGATAATCCCAGAGGCGAAGAACAACCCCAGGCTTCTGTTTTCTACCACATCCCGGCTCCTCCGTCCCCCCTGCCACCCCGTGCAGGTCATCTCCTCCAACCTTTACTGCAAGGAGATGCTGGATTTCCTTGAATCCCAAATCAAGGGAATCCGCTCCGTGGTCACTCCCCCTCCAACTTCCACCCACCCCCCACCCCTTCCCTCCCACACTCCGACTCCTACCCATCCTTCCCTGCACACCTTCGTACCCGTTTCCCCATCCTCTGTCACCAAACTCATCCTGTCCCTGAAACCCACCACCTGCTCCCTTGACCCCATCCCCACTCCACTCCTTATCTCTCAGCTCCACCTTCTTGCCCCACATATCACAGATTTCATCAACCTGTCCCTCTCCTCTGGCTCTGTTCCCATTCCCCTCAAAACTGCCATCATCACTCCCACTTTGAAAAAAACCCTCCCTTGATGCATCGCAGCTATCAACCTACCGGCCCATCTCCAACCTCCCCTTCCTGTCCAAGGTCCTTGAAAGAGTTGTCGCCTCCCAGCTGCGCTCTTTCCTCTCCACCCATGCATTATTCGAACCCCTTCAGTCGAGTTTCTGTGCTGCCCATAGCACAGAAACCGCCCTGGTCAAGGTCACCAATGACATCTTGACCATCTGCGACCAGGGCTCCCTCTGCCTCCTCGCTCTCCTCGACCTATCGGCAGCATTCGATACGGTCGACCACGCTATCCTCCTCCACCGCTTGTCCTCCCACCTTAACCTTCAAGGCCCTGTCCTTGAGTGGTTTAGGTCGTACCTCTCCCACCGTCTTCATTTTGTTTCCACAAACGGCTTTTCCTCCACCCCCCGCACTGTCTCGTGCGGTGTCCCTCAGGGCTTTGTCCTCGGTCCCCTCCTCTTCACCCTCTATATGCTCTCCCTTGGTGACATCATCCGCAGACATAGGGTTAACTTCCACATGTATGCGGATGACACCCAACTCTACCTTTCCTCCTCTACTCTCAACTCCACGACCACCGATGTCCTGACAGCCTGCCTGTCCGACATCGAGTCCTGGACGAGAGACAACTTTCTTCAGCTCAACGTACGTAAAACTGAGGCCCTCCTGATTGGCTCACGTCAGCGCCTCCGCACCTCAGGCGCTGACAGCATCAGCATCCAAGGCTGCACTCTCCACCTCTCAAAGCCATCAGGAACCTCGGTGTTCTGTTCGACCCTGAGCTGTCCTTTCTCCCTCATATCCGCGCCACAACTGGCACCGCCTTCCATCACCTCCAGAGCATCGCCAGACTATGGCACTACCTCACCCCTCACGCTGCTGAAACTGGTTCACGCCTTTATCACCTCAAGGCTGGACTATGGGAACTCTCTCCTCACCGGCCTTCCCGGCACCTCTCTCCACAAGCTGCAGGTCATTCAGAACTCTGCAGCTCGTGTACTGTCCCGCACCAGGCTTCGGGACCACAACACTCCCACCCTCGCTCGCCTCCACTGGCTCCCCATCCCCCAGAGGATAGATTTCAAGATCCTCATCCTCACCTACAAGGCCATTCACGGCCTTGCTCCCTCCTACCTCTCCGATCTACTATCCCCCTATCTACCTGCCCGTACCCTCCGTTCCTCTGGCTCCGGTCTGCTCCACATCCCCCGCCCCAACCGCCCTACATTCGGTGGCCGGGCCTTCAGTCTCTCAGCCCCTAGGCTCTGGAACTCTATCCCCCAGTGCCTTCGCCGCCTCCTCCCTTTCCTCCTTCAAGGCCGGTCTCAAGACCTTTCTCTTTGACCGTGCCTTTAGCTCCCCTCTCAACTCTACCCCTTCCTCGCCCCTCCCTTCCCTCCCCTCACCCTGACCATTTCCCCCCTCCTCGCTCCCTCCCTTCCCTCCCCTCACCCTGACCATTTCCCCCCCTCCTCGCTCCCTCCCTCCCTTCCCTCCCCTCACCCTGACCATTTCCCCCCTGCTCGGGTCCTGACCCAACTGTCCGGCGCTTTGGAACGTCCTCCCGACGTGAAAGGCGCTCTATAAATGGAATCTTGTTGTTGAGAGCATCTCAAAAGGGAAATATCCCCAGGTTATATTTCCATGTTGTATTGCAGTCAGTATGTTACCCAATTTTGAAGATTGAAGAATCGAGAAGAAAATACAATTTCTTACTTTAGGTTTTGTACGTTGTCTGGTACCATCCGATTTGTTTTTTTAAGTAATAGATATATGGTATGTGATGACCTTTGGAAGGCTAGAAAGATTTGTGATCTGGAGCTTGATCTATTTGTTGTCTAGACACTATGGGGAAACCCCATGATAATGCGTTTGTCTATCTCCAAGCCAGTATCTCCAAGCAAGGTTATAACAAAACTTGAAAAAATGACTGTCGTCAGGACCCCACTGTCATGACCTGGAACATTGTGCAATGGATCATTGTGAAATTGAGCACCTCTGTTGACCATAGGAACATAGGAATTGTGAGACGATCAAAGACCAAGGTCCATCTAGTCCGTCTTCTACTATCCTGGTAGTTGCATGCTACAATAATGGAGATGTTGACAGCATTTAATGTGTATGAATTTGTCTACCAACACAGGGGAAAGCTTTGGGAACCTTAAATCCAAAGTTACCTAGTTCTTCTAGGTGCCCCTTACATCGTGAAATGGATTGAGCAATTCTCCCTGTACTAAACACACATGTGCAGCTGACATAAAGTGATATCAGCAAAAGCTTCTTGTACCTATGTCAAGAGTAAATTGTGCTGCAAATTCAGTAGACCCACACTGTCAGAGAAACCTGTGCTCAACCTGGGTGCTATCAGATTGGCTTCCCTGTGTAGCTGTATTTGGTGTTGGACAAACATCATCTATGATATTAGGTTTTGAACTTTTCAAACATATCTGGTCATATAGATTTTATGCACTGAGACCATAATATGTCACCCAATTAATTATGCAGCATTTATAAAGTACCCTAGCTGTGGCTTTTTGAACAGACCCTTGCAGTTAATGAACGGGTAAAAGATCAAAGACAGAGGACTAGATCAATCTAACAATGTTTTGCAACTAAACAAAGAGTAGAGCCCACATGCAAATATCCGCATTAATCCATTGAGATCATCAGAATCTGAACGAGTGAACTTTTCTGGTCAAAACATTTTTGTAAGCATGTTTTGTAAGTTTGATGTTGATCTAACTTCACATTCACAATTTAATATTTTTATAAATTTGTAAACATGAATGTAACATTTTCCCTTTCCTTACAGATGCAATAGTCACTGATCGCCATGGAAATCAGATTCAGTCACTGAACTCCTCCTGTATAAATGTATTGGGAATAGCTGGAGATGGACTTGACAAATCTAAACTGAATGTTACTTGGCAGGTACAATACATTTTCATTGTTTGACAAATCTATTTAGAGTCCTGTAGCTCAGTGGTTAGAGCACTCGCTTTGCAAGCGAGAGACCTGAGTTCAATTCCAGGCAGGGCGAAACCTTGGGCAAGTTTCCTTACTCCACACGCCTAATAATAATCCCTCCAAAAAAAAACAATAATAAATTAGTCATTTTCAATCTATGACTGTTTGTGGGACATTGCTGTGCGCAATTGGCTGCCGCGTTCGCCCACAAATATGCAGTCAATTCACTTTACAGTGTGTTCTGTGAAGCGCTTTGGGACGTCCTCCCGACGTGAAAAGTGCTATATCAAATGCAAGGATTATTATTATTATGCTTAGGAGCAGATGTACAACCAAACTGAAAAGTTGATGCTGCACAACCCTTTCCAGAATTTGCCTTTCCTAATTATAATCTTAAAGGAATTGATATTGTCATTTTATTTATTCATCTGGACTGGGGGGAGGGATTTGGGTCAGTCCTCATTTGATATTAATAATAATGCTTACATTTGATATAGTCTCAAACCACTTCATTGAATATATTGTAAAATAGAGTTTAGTACATATTAAAACTTTCAAGTTGTTGGGTCCAGGATCTTGGGTTGGGTGTACATCAGACACTTATTTCTTGTCTTGATCAACTTAAAAGTTCTAACTGTCTTGGTTTTGATTTTATGGTTCCCTCTACGAAAGGGAAGAGTTGTTTACTGTTTAATTTATTAATTCCATTCATTATTTTAAATAACTCAATCAAATCACTTCTTAATCTCCTCTGCTCTAAGGCATCTAAACCCCAGTCCACCAAATTGCTAATCATAGCTAAGCCGCTACAGCCCAGGTATTATTCCAGTGAACTATCACTAGACTCCTTCCAAGACTTGTAGATGTTGCTTAAGACTGAATGCAGTAATCTAAATGAGTTCTGACCGGCATTCTTAACGCCATAAGAACATAAGAAATGCTAGACGAAAAAAGACCAAGGTCCATCTCGTCCACCTTCCTGGCAGTCGCATGCACGTATGTCCCAAACTACCTATACTATATCCCATAATGTTATTTCGTGGAGTCCTGTAGCTCAGTGGTTAGGGCACTCGCTTTGCAAGCGAGAGACCTGAGTTCAATTCCAGGCAGGGGGAAACCTTGGGCAAGTTTCCTTACTCCACACGCCTAATAATAATCCCTCCAAAAACCAAAAACAATAATAATAAATTGGTCATTTTCAATCCACGACTGTTTGTGGGACATTGCTGTGCGCAATTGGCTGCCGCGTTCGCCCACAAATATACAGTCAATTCACTTTACAGTGTGTTCTGTGAAGCGCTTTGGGACGTCCTCCCGACGTGAAAAGCGCTATATCAAATGCAAGGATTATTATTATTATTATTTCCTAAAAGAAAACTATCTAATCTGTGTTTGAAAGAATCAACACTTACTGTTTTAACCGTCTCCCTAGGGAACCTGTTCCACAGGTTCACTATTCGCTCATTGAAATAGTATTTGCGTAGATTTATTCTGAATTTACCCCCCTTCAATTGCAGGCCGTGTCCTCTGATTTTACTGTTCTGGACAAGTTGAAACAGCCTGTCATGATCTGTATTGTCTAGCCCCTTCAGAGTTTTAAAGACAGCAATCATATCACCTCTCAGTCTTCTCTTTTCCAGCATGAACATGCCCAAATTACTTCGTCGTTCCTCATAGCCCAAGTCGCTCCTCATAGTATAACTCCTTACTTCCATTATTCTAGACAACAACAACTTGCATTTATACAGCGCCCTTCATGCGGGTGCAGCACTTGGGACGCAGACCCCTTGTAATAGAAGTCAGCATCACATTTGATTTATTGACTGCTTTCTGCACTGGTGAATTCGATTTTAATGACCAATGAATTTGAACCCTTAAATCTCTGTGGATCCACTCTCCTTGAGCTTCTCCATTTACAATGTATTCCCATTCACTGTTCTTCTGTTCCAGATGCTCCACTCCACAACTTGCAATTTTAAACTTCATCTGCCATAGTTTCATCCACAAATATATAGTCAATTCACTTTACAGTATATTCTGTGAAGTGCTTTGAGAAGAGCTATATCAAATGCAAGGATTATTATTTTAGCTTTGCCTACCTGCTTAATATGCCTGTCTCTTGGTATTTTTTGCCTGTCCTCTTCACAATTTGAAACACCTCCTATCTTAGTGTCATCTACAAATAGTCCCTCTATGCTTTAGATCTATCTCCAAACTAATTTTAGCCTTCATAGTTAAATTCCATTTTTATACCATACTCTGATCCTAATGCACATGAAGGATAAATAAGGAATACATTCTCATTTTTATTTCCTACTTGAGTTTTATGACAAACTCTGGAAAAGGTTTTGCTCTTACTTTTCAGTCTATTGGCATTAAAATATAATGTTTTCATCTGTGAAACTGGGAGAATTAACTCCTGTGCAGACATTTTAAGTGAGTAATGAAATAATTTATTTGATATTGTTGGACTTTGGTAGTTCTCTTAAAATGTTTCTCTGCATGTAAACAGCTTTTATGCAAGCGTTATTACTTTGCATTTTAAATCATCTTAATAGGAAAGTAACCAATCCATGGTTATTCGAGGAATAATGTTTTCACCTGGAATCACTGGTCAAAAAGAACTTTGCTTTGCTTGGCGTGACTTTGTGGATTATGTAAGAATTCATCTGACTGCAGGACCCCCAACCCAAATTACTGTCCTGGAATGGGAAGATGTAGAAGAGGTAAGATCTGTGCTTTTGTACTGAGATTGGAGTATTTTTAAGTCCTTTTATTGTTGATTATTAGTCCACTGTTAATTTTACAGCGATAGTCTCAGTACTGGGATAATGAATTTGGTTGGGGATGGGGTGAAGCTAATCTTAATCTGTTAACTCAACGCTACACAGATTCTAAAATGATGTTCCTATTATTAACAGTGGTCACTGCACATGTTAGTAACACAATGCTGACTGGGAAATTTTGTTTCAATAGATCTGAATGTTGGCTGGTCTATAGTAAATCTGTGCAGACAAGATTTGTCATAACATGGCAAATTCAAAATAACAAATTCCTTCAAAATCATCATGTTCTTGTTTTTGGGTGTTCAGAAGTTTGGTTTAATGATGCATTTCATGAAAAAAAAACGAAATCTTGCACCTCAAGGTAATGACCACTTTATTGCTTCTGTAATCTAAGATAGACTCAGTTTTCGCACCCTATTTTGGCATAAAGGAATTTGGAATATCTCCTCAGAAGGTTCAACTGAACCAGAATTCTGATATGGGTCTGGACATCCATTACTGCATCTTTGCCAACTTCAGTATTGATTTTAGTTAATTTTAAGACCATATTCTCACTCAAACTAAACTCGACATTCCCATCACCCCAGTCCTCACCAGGCACTGCTCACTCCCTGATTCCCAACGGATCTATTCTAAGGCCATCATCTATAAATCTCTTCATTCCCTAGTGCCTCTATATGTCTGTTTCTCCTACCCCACTCTTTTGCTTGCTGCCTCTCTGTCTTTCAACGGCACCTTAAAAAAAACTTACTGTGGGATGGCACCTATTGTCTCCTTTACCCTTGCCCTTGCTCGACTTCGTGATATGCTCCAAGAACTTATCCTATGTGAAGGGTACTATATAAATGCAAGTTGTTGATGATTTGTCCTGGTCTTCAAATGCTTTGGATTTATTTTTCTGACCTGAAAAGACTGACTTGGTATAAGATGCTACCTCTTTGAAAAATATGGAAGGCAATGAAAAGGAAAGATTTTGTTTGCAACCTAAGGAAAACTATGTTCTCACGTGACTATTGTTAAGGCTCAAACTTTTGAAGAGCACTCACCTGTTTGTGTTTGGGTGCCCCCCTATTTAATTGTATAAGGTGAACTATATTCAATTTATGAGGAAAACTACACTTAACGTTACTTCATCTGACAATTAATTGATTATTTTTATCTGTAAGAAGAACTTGTTTAAATACCAACCTCTAGTAAAGTATTGTTTTTCTTTACACATTTTTGATTTATGTTTTTTCTGTTTTTTTTAGCCTGTCACTGTTATAAATGGTAAGGCTCTTGATCAGGTTCTTGTGGCACAGCTTTGTGATACGTGGGGGAATCCTTCTCCTGAACCACTTATTAAAGTTGTCCTGATAAAGGACTCCGGCTTAAAGGTAGGATATTTATTGAGAAATGAGTGGTGCTTTTCATATTGGTTACATAAGTGTTTGTAGAAAAGCAGTTTTTAGAATTTTAACAATATACTTTTATCCCCGAATCAGATGGGCACTTTCTGCTCTAATATGATATTTAATTTCCTCCTGGTGGTATATTTATTATTTATGATTTATTCTATCTTATCTATCAATGAAAAACCTAATTTAGGTGACGTAAAATACCTGGGGCATTATCCCTTTGGTAGTTTGCAGAACAGTTATGTGTTCTTCTGCACGTAAAACTGTGATTGCATTCATTTGCTACATTTACAAGCTGTTATGGGGAAAAAAGCAGAAGAATAGAACATAGGAGGCAGAATTGGCTGACTGGCCTCCTTCTGTGGTATAAATTTTTATGTGAATACTTGCCTTCAGTTGCAGAAACATAAAACAACAGCTGGAAGTTCAATACTGAAAGCCAGTTTTTATTTCTGCAGAATAAAAGATTAACTAGATCTAAAATTCCATAGTTAAAGTGGAGAGGGGATTGGAAGATCTCAACAGCTACTACCTGCTGGTTACAGAGGATATGGAGATCTGATATTTAGTGTTCCCTCACCTTGAGGGATCACAATTTTCTCCAACTGGGCTACTTCCAAAGCTTGTTGCCATAGCATTATCACACAGAGACCGCTGATGCAGTTCTACTTCTGTATGGCGTGATCTAATCAATCCAGCTGAATATTGAACTGTTTAAAGCATACAGCTGAATTTTACTAGATAAATGAGGATGTCTAAAATAAACAGAACAGGGTTCTAATTCTCATATTCCTTCTATCAGTCAATCTCTAGCATTTCATCTATTAAACTGAGCCAGAATATTTGTCATGTGGTGAAGGATTGTACATTGACCTAATTATAGTCAGCTGAAGGTTGTAATTTTTAAGGCTACCGTACAGATTTTGTGAGTCATTCAGACACCCTTGCCAAAGCAAAATTTTGCACCAGGCTACTTTGAGAGAATGTGATGAATAGTTCTGTATATTTCAATGAAAAATTAATGCATCTTCTATTTTATAAACCGATTATTTCCCTTCAGCTCTTGCCATCGCCACAACAACAAAAGACTGATGAAAATGGTAGAGTGAACTTTGGCACATTTCAGATCTTTGCAGCAAGGTGAGGTTATTCAGACACTAAAACAACAACTTGCACTTATATAGCACCCTCCGCGCAGAGTGGCGTCTCAGAGCACTTAAATAATTACTTTGTGTGGTCTTTGATCTTTTTTAACACTGGGAAATATTTTCAAAACTTCTCTTGATTCAATTATGCAATTATCCAACTCTACTTCTCTGTCTCCACCCTTGACTCCAGGACCACTGCTGTGCTGACAGAATGTCTGTCAGACATCAATTCCTGGATGAGAGTTAACTTTCTTCAGTTGAATGTCAACAAGACCGAGGCTCTCCTGATCGGCTCCCATCAGCGCCTCCTCACCTTAGACACTGACAGCATCACCGTCCATGGTTGCACACTCCACCTTGCTAAGCCAGTCCGGAACCTTGGGGTCTTGTTTGATCCTCAACTATCCTTTCTACCCCTCATCTGCGCCATGAACCACTCTACCTTCCCTCACCTCCACAACGTGGCCCGGCTCCACCACTGTCTCACACCGCAGGCCACCGAAACCCTCATAAATGCTTTCATTTCATCAAGGCTCGACTATGCAAACTTATTGCTTGTCGGCCTCCCCAACTCCTCCCTCTACAGGTTGCAGATCATCCAGAACTCTGCAGCTCGTGTCCTATCCCGCACCAGGCTCCGCAAACCTATCACCCCCATCCTTGCCCAACTCCACTGGCTTCCTATCACATAGAGGATACAGTTCAAGATCCTGGTCCTCACCTTCAAAGCCTTTCACAGTCTTGCTCCCCCCTACCTCTGGGACCTCCTAACCCTCTACCATCCTGCTTGCTCCTTCCGCTCAGTGGTCTCCGGCCTGCTTCACGTCCCCCGCCTCGCTCGCCCCACTATTGGCGAGCGGGCCTTCTGTCACTCTCCCCCTACTTTCTGGAACTCCATCCCGCAGTCCCTCCGCCTTGCCCCCTCCCTTACCACCTTCAAGACCCATCTCAATAGCCTCCTCTTCAACCCTGTTTCACCCCCCACCCGCCATCCACTCTCCCCGACCTACTTTATATATTAGTGGGGGGTGGGGTGGGAGTATTTGAAAACGATTGGAAGAAATGAGTGATGAGCTTTTCTCCTATCTTCTGAAGTTGTTTTTATCAAACTGCCTGATAATATGCCGACAGCATTTTAAAAAGTTGTGAGCAATATTTGTTCTACGTACTCTGAAGAGAAAACGTCGATACATATATATTCATGCGCATACAAGGAGTGCTCCTTTGTGGCCTCTGGCTGCCAATCAACTATTCTCAGTTATTTCATTTCAATAATTAGAAATTGGTGTTACAAAGAAACACCAGGAATTTTATTATTCGTTTCTAATTTCAATAATGTTATTTTCTCAAAAATATTTTAAGGTCAATTTTTAAAAAAAAACTTAATTGAAGGCTCCCTGCAAAATGAGTGTTTGAAGAACGTTTTACCATCAATGTTTGTACATATACTATATATAATTTCCCTATGGAGTAAATTATGTTTTTTCATCTAATTTTATGGTGTAAGGTAAGGCTGTGCAAATTAAATTTAAAATGTTTTCTTAAGCATGGTATTGTGGCTGAAAGTAGTTTTAAATATTGGAATGTTTTGTGCAGTAAAGTAGCTGTATTAAAATGCTAAGAGCATCTATGTACGATATAAACATTTATTTACATACTACTAAGACAAGCCCAGGTTACTAATTGAAAGAAATGGGAGTGATGCCCTTTTCTCCTGTCTTCCGAAGATGTTCTTTCCAAAGAAAAAAAATAAACAATTACTCATTGGTTGGGGGAGATTGCTGTGCTGCAAATTGGCTGTCATGTTTGCCTACAAAATGCACAGTCACACCTGTTTATAGTAAAACTTGTGGAAACCCTTTGAGACATCACGATGTCTTGATAAGGTGCTGTACCAAAAACAAAGATTATTATGTTTTATTGGCTGATAATATCCCTCCTGTATTTTTTTCCAAGCAGCAGTTGTTTGGTTGTACCCCAAGGCCCAATCCCTTTGGCCCTTTCCTCATTTACATGATCCCTTTCAGCTATATCATCCGCAGACATATTTGTATGCAGATGATGCCCAAACCTACTTCTCATCTAGGGGTGACTCTTCCACTATGCCCCAAAACTTTGGAACTTTCTACATCAATGCCTCCTCCTTGTCCCCTCCTTTTTCACATCATGCCTGAAAACCTTCCTCTTCGAACATATTTATAGTCAACTCCACCTTTTTGGCATCAGGCTCCGCTGCTGTTAAGCACTGCCAAGACGGTACCCTGCGTCAAGGCTATAAAATTGCAAATTGTTGTTCATTTGTGAGTTTCAGTAGTGAGTACTTGCAGTAATTTAATTGAGGTGGGTATGTGGGTGGGCAAAACATCAGAGCTCTACCTGTGCATGTTCCTTTAGAACATTCTTACTGGCTACTGGATAATGACCCTGAGAAAGAATTTGAGATGAGTTGAATTCCTGGTGTGGATGACTCCATACCACATCAGGCACTGCATAAACCTCCAATTTTGGTATCAGCCTGAATACACAAAGCAGACAAGTTAATTGTTGATTAAATGCAGTTCCCAATTGATCAAGATCTGTTCTTCGAGGAGTTCTGGTTTCAGATCACTCTGGCCATAATTGGGAAATTGGGTATAGGTTATACTATGCAGGCAACTCACCATCTTTGTGATTGTAAATGCAAGAGTGTTAATGAGATTGCAACTACTACAACAACAATTTGCATTAATATAGCATCCTTCATCCAGGGTAGGTCTCGAAGTGCTTAATTTAAATCGGGCTGGGACAAATGTCCTAGCTAAACAAATTAATAGGAGGTAAATAGGAATTTAAACTAGTAAAGGGGGGGGAATATATAGGTAAGAGAAACCATAAGTTAGCATTAGAAAAAGGAAAGATGACAGTGCAGAATAGCATGCCAGATAATATGTTAACTAGGGGTAAGAAGCTTGGCAAAGCAAATAAAGAATCAGAGAGTAGAGGAAATGGTAGGAAATTAAAAATGTTATATCTGAATGCGCGAAGCATTCGGAATAAAACTGATGAATTAAAAGCACAGATAGACACATATGGGTATGATCTAATAGCCATCACTGAAGCATGGTTACAAGGAGATCTGGGGTGGGAGTCAAAGGTTCAGGGTTCTCAGTTTACAGGAAAGATAAGCACTGTGGGAAACGAGGTGGGGGGGTAGCCCTGTTAATTAGGGATGAAATAAAAGCAGTGGAGAGGAAGGATCTGAAATCCGATGACCAGGAGGTAGAGACAATATGGATGGAAATAAAAATACTAAGGGGTAGAAAATACTAATGGGAGTGGTTTATAGACCCCCAAACAGTGATCACAATATAGCACAAGGTATTAATCAGGAAATCAGTGGAGCATGTAGGAAAGGTAAACCGATAATAGTGGGTGATTTCAATCTCCACATAGATTGGGAAAACCAAATCGGCAAAAGTAGGTTAGAAGAAGAGTTCATTGGATGTATGAGACATAAATTTCTAGAGCAGCATGCCGAGGAACCAACTAGGGGACAGGCCATCCTAGACCCTGAAAACAGGGCTAGTCGGCAGTGTAGGTATTAAGATTCCTCTAGGGCAGAGCGATCACAATATGATTGAATTCTGCATTAAGTTAGAGAGGGATATAGTTAAATCCGAGGCAAGTATTCTGAATTTAAATAAGGCCAATTTTGTAGGTATGAGGAAAGATTTAGGTAAAATAGATTGGAGAATAAGATTAAGAGGTAAGAATGTAGACCAACAGTGGCAAATATTTAAGGATGTAGTGCATAATTCTCAGCGGTCGCATATTTCCTTGCGGAATAAGAGTACCGCAGGGAAAGCAAGTCATCCGTGGCTAACTAGAGCAGTTAGGGAAAGCATCAAATTAAAAGAAAAAGCTTATAAAACTGCCAAGAAAAGCAGCAAATCTGAAGATTGGGAGAGTTTTAGAAACCAGCAAAATAAAACTAAAAAAGTCATTAAGAGCGAGAAAAAGGAGTATGAGGGTAAGCTAGCTAGGAACATTAAGTCAGATTGTAAACGTTTTTACAAATACATTAAGAGGAATAGGCTAGTGAGGGTAAATGTAAGTCCACTTCAGTCAGAGATGGGAGAAGTTGTAATGGGGGATAAGGACATCGCAGAGTCCCTAAATGGGTACTTTGCATCTGTCTTCACCCTAGAAGACCCAACAAGTCTGCCATCAATAGAGATGGACCAAGAGAATAAGGACAGGGAGCAACTCTAGGGAAATTTTCATTAGTAGAGAATTGGTGCTAGGGAAACTGTTAGCACTAAAAAGTGACAAATCCCCTGGTCCGGATGGCTTGCATCCCAGGGTTTTAAAAGAGGAGCTTATGAGATAGTGGAGGCGTTATGTCTGATCTTCCAAAATTCCTTGGATTCTGGAAGAGTCCCCATGGATTGGAAGATCGCAAATGTCACACCACTATTTAAAAAAAGGTGTAAAGGAAAAGATGGGGAGTTATTGGCCAGTTAGTCTAACATCAGTGATTGGAAAAATTTTAGAATCATTGATTAAGGATGTGATAGTTCGGTATTTAGAGGAGCACAATATAATTAGGCCAAGTCAGCATGGCTTTACAAAAGGGAAGTCATGTGTGACAAATCTCATAGAATTTTTTGAGGATATTTCGAGTAAACTAGATAAGGGTGAATCAGTGGATGCGGTCTATTTGGACTTCCAGAAGGCATTCGATAAGGTGCCGCATAAAAGGTTAGTCCAAAGGATAGAGGCCCATGGAATTGGGGGGAGCATATTAACGTGGATTGGGGAATGGTTAACAGGTAGGAAACAAAGAATAGGGATAAACTGGTCCTTTTCTGGTTGGCGGGATGTGACTAGTGGAGCGCCACAAGTATCAGTCCTTGGGCCTCAGCTATTTACCATCTACATCAACGATCTAGATGAGGACATCGAAGTTAATATATCTAAATTTGCGGATGACACAAAACTAGGAGGAAGTGT